CAAGGTACGGTTAGGTTCGAAAAAAATTGCGTCTAAAGAAATAGAATTTCACATAATTGCTTTTTGCTCAGGGTTACGTTTTGCAATTCTACGCTATAATTCTACCAATTTGTCTGAACCAATAGGAAAGTGTACCATATGCATAACCTCATTAGGGAGAAAATAAAATATGATTATATATCTTAGTTGCATAATTTAAGACAATGTTTTGTTCTCAATCTTCTCATAACACCATTTCGTATAAATGTTTTTTATCTTTGCCACATAATACATTATGCGATATGATGGTAACGTCATCGATTTTAAATGCATAGATGCATATGTTGCAAAATTTTGGTTCAAATGCGTAGAAACAAATGCTGGTTTGTCTCCCCAACAAAGAAAAAAGTTCTTTTCTCGTTTTCTTTCATCTATCCTGCTTAGATGTCCTTCCAAAATAGCTTCAAAAAATGTATTGAATATTAAACTTTTCATCTCTAACCTTATTGTAAATACTATATAATTGTGAACAGGTTTTATATCATGATTCTTGCATTCTATTATAACGGACTTGTCTATTTAATGCGAATTGTCTAATACCGGATTTGTCTACTTAAAGTCATTATGTAGCAAGAAGTTGTCGACCGTTTCAAACAATATGTCTTTTTTATTTGACGTGGTACTTATTATCAAGTTTATTAACAAGCTGCGGTTTCCAAAATTTGTTCTTAATTTTAAATTATAATGAAGCTTAATGGGCTCTTTAAAAACATCTTCTGCTAAAGAGCAACCTTTTTTAGAAGAATGAAGCATGAAATATTTTTAACTCAAACTTGGACCAATGCTCCTGCCATATCAAACACACCTGTGGTGGCCCATTCTTCCTGTCCTGAAAACAAATAGTTAATAGTTTGTATTTTAATCTACCATTTCACAAAATGGAAATGAAGTTTCTAAGACCGGAGACTTAATCCCTGCTCACAGTTTGCTCACAGTAGCCATTAAAGTTAAAATGAAGCAGAAGAGAATGGGCACATGTTTAATTCAGCAACTGAGTGCACTGGTCGCGTATCTTCAAAGCATTTCACTTTTCTAGGTGATAACAATGCAAAGAAATATAATTGTTAATAATCCTATTGAATGCTAGCAGTGTGTCACACTCATGAAAAAGCCCATTCAACTCAACACACAATGTGAGCTACATTTGACCGAAGCGTACACCCATAATCCACGTACTAAGGAGACGTGTTACCATTTCCAAGGGCTGCCTTTGCTTTATCACATCATGTTGATGTAAATAAGGAATTGAAAGAGTGTCTACCGGGTGATGATTTAATATGAATACATATGAAGGGTTAAGTAGCATACAGGGCTGGTACAAATGTTTCAAAATGATTTTGCAGATTGTAAGAAAATCAGCCATCTAGAAGGGTGCATTTTCAACATCATCCAATTATTCAAATACTCTACGCCAGAGTTCATGCTGAGTTTTCAAGATAATACTTGGTTCATCTACTTCAAATGATCTCTACAGTCTTTCTATGTAAAAGCAGTCTGTCCCTTCCATAATTGGCTAATTCTAATTTGAAAGCTTCGCCTTAAAAGAGGCTCTTCCTCTGCCTTTTTAGCATCCGACATTAGTTATTGTGGGTGAACACGGCAGAAAATGCCTAATCTTTATATAGTCAAAATTGACCTGGACGTTTGACACCAAAACAAAATTCATAGCAACTCGCTCAAGGAGAGTACGCTACGGTGGTTCATCATTCTGATTGGTTATTTGTGCATCCAACTAACGGTGAATGAATATCATGGCCATGAAAATATAATCTGAGAACAATGGGGGACATACTGCCTTTAATCACCAGTCACCAAGACGTTCTGGGAAAGGGGTAGTGTGGCACAAAGACGGAATTTGATCAGCTTTCGTAGGTGGGGTAGGGGTGAGGCTAGAAGCGTTAGCTCAACTGACAACATCCCCCCCCCCCCCTAGCATGACTTCAGAAAATGCAAGAAGAATTTAGTCAAAACATTATATTTTGGTCAGAAGTAAAAGAACCAAATAGTGCCTGCTGCCAACGCAAGTTCCCCATCATTTGACTCCAATGAGTCATTTGACTCTTTTTTACCCACTTTTTCGCTCGCAGAAGTAGCCAAAGTCCTAATATTGAGCTTACAGACAAAATATACCCCTCCCCCCACAATTCCCGCCCCTGCAATAGCAATAACAATGCAACCTAGATTGGCACCTCCAGAATCCCCGCCCCTGCAATGGCAATAACATTGAAACCTAGATTGGCACTTTCTCCTCCTGGAAAGACGCTTTTGCAAAACTTTAGACACGGCAAACCGCGCGTTCCTACATCTCTTGTATGTGAAATGGTCACAGTCAGGTTTTTTGGCAGTCCCTGCTTGTGAAACTGAATCCATGTAAACAAATTATTGAAGTAAAAAGATCGTTTGATTGCATTGTAAGTTATGGAAAATTTTTTGCAAAGTTTTCATAGCATTAGTACACATTATTTAGACTGTTAATTTTTACATAGTTGGGATCAATAAGCACATTTCTATTGCAATTCGCAAACTCTAGATGGACGAAATAAATCATTACTTCAATTATTCATTGCAAGACAATTTTTGGCAAATTTTCCAGTTTTGGATATCACTCCTCAAAATTACTTTTCAAAAGCAAAGATTTTTCCTACTTTGCCTGGCTGGATGTTAGACAACGAATGTTGAACTATTGAGCAAGCAACAGTTGCTGGCGATTAGCTGGCAAAGTTTTTTATTGTTTTTCTCTTTCCTCAAGCTACGCAGCCAAAGTTAATTCTAATTGCAGTTTTCAATTGTTAGACATTCTTTTTGCTACAGATATTGTTAATTCCATGCAGGGACGGATTTAGGGAGGGGTGAAGGGGTGTGACAGACCCCCAATTTTTTTGTTCTTCGGCAAATTTTGACATTTTTGAAACTTTTGGTAGTCAGTAGTAGCAAAAAATGCAATAACTGATTTTATTTATCTTCTTTTCATCTTTAGCTGAATTTTAGCTGAATGTTCAAAGCTGAATTTTTTAAGCGTGCATTTTCTAAAATTTTCCAGTCACCTAAAGGGTGTGGCAAAATTCCAATCGCTATCTAATGCACAATCCCCCCATCCTCCAGCCTTGCCACTTATTTTGCCCCTAATTCCATGCCATTTTCTTAATAAGGAACTCAGTTTGCTAGGTGCTGAAAAATGCTTATGGGATTATGCAAGAGCGCGTTACCTGTATCCCAACTGGATCCAATCTCATGGCAAAAATGTTCATTTATGGTGTTAAAATCTTTTGCAGAAGGAAAAAAGCATAGCTACATCTTTCATGACAAATCTTAGAGTCTGGAAAAGTTGTCAAACCTACTCCGGCCAAGAAAATCTTACAATTGAACCCTCTTCGTTTTTTATGAGTCTATAATAGGCGTGGTCAGGAAATTGTGGTATTCACCAAGTTTTGATCCCCTTTTTCTTGCACTTCTTTTTCCAAAATATATCAAATAATTGTAGCTTTTTTCAATTATAGATTACTTTTGCAACAGCTGTAAAGTTACATGCTTATAAATTATAAATTAATAACAAAAGTGTGTCATAATTTAAATACGTAAGTTATGTAAAGCTTAAATTATACAGTGCAATGCAGTTGTCCTACCACATTCATATTAAGAAAACAAAAGGTTTATCTCATAATTATCATTTGTCTTGTCTTTTTTTGTCTGGCTGTATTTTGAAAACCACAAGCCAATACGATTTCCTCAACTTTCTCAATTTTCCAAGTTTTTGGTCACCTTCCTCATTTTTTTCGTTTTTTCTGGCCCTCTCCCAATAATTGCCAAACTATAGTATGTTTCCTTTATAACAGTGTACTGAATGAGAAGGAGAACAATTGGCAGCAACACCCCCCCCCCCCCCCCTCAATATGAATTTCGTTCCGACGGCACTGTTTTATGATGATAAAAGAAAGTCCGGAGGAAAAATAAGCACTTTTCCTGGATTCTGAGGTAATTGTGCGTTAATTGGTTTCGATCAACCTACACATCCTCGAATCACTTTACTTGTACGGAAATACGCCATTTCAAGAGGGAGGGAGCCAATAATAATTCATTTCTTAACCTCCAATCGTGCGAAAAAACTATTGCTTCAATTGGTAATAAATAGCAATGATCCGTGATAAGAGCCTTGTGGCATAGAGCCTTGTGGGTGTGTATCAGCTGCAAACTAGAAAAGAGATTTTGTTGGCACCAGCTATTGTCTTTGGGAGGCACAGTTTCCTTAATCGAGATACCTTCAATAGCAATTCAAATGTCTTAGTGTGTTATGATAAGAGGTTTTGATAATTGTTTGACCCGAATAAAGCATGGCGACGTGCAAGTAAACGAATTCTAGTTTACATCAATATTTTATTGTAGTATATTTTTGCGATTGCTTGTTAAGGTGCTGATAGATTAAAGCGTGTCAGAATTGATTTAGTTATCTTCATTCTTTCAGACTTTGTCAAGATATGAATGTCTGAGCATCAATTTATCTTTAGCGATCAGAATTTTATATCTATCAGAATCTTGTGCTTACTTCAATTAACGTTTCAGAAGGTCTGTTTCTATTTTCATGCAGAGGCTTATATCTTAGTCCCTTTAGAATATATCTATTAACAAAGGGATCTGCTGCAAAATATAAGCACAGCAATGTAGTTAAACAGACTTCATCCTTCCAAGGAAAAATCTTATTGTAGATCGTCATTAATATGTACCCAGAGTATAAACAAGAATGTGCTTGTTGTTCGATTCTTTTAGATTTTTAAAACCCACGAAAATAATGTACATAAAAAGATCTCGGCAAGTCTCTGTGCTCCCTGGCTTGTTGTGGCAAATGTGAGATGTTTAAACAAAACTGTTCTTTGTTATTGAACTCAATACTTGTTAAAAATTAAATATTTTCAAAGTGATTAATTTTCCTTTTTACCACAAGACAGGTTCTATTGTTGAAATAATGAAAGGCCGTCGTGACATGATGCGAGTTTAAAAACATCTAGTATGATTTTTTAACAAGTCTGGCAACGTGAAAATTCAAGGTCTTTTTCAGTAGCACAGTATCTTGACAAGGATAACGTAGCCTGAAGTCATGTTTTACTACGGGGGTTTCAGGCGAATATAGCAATTCTTTTATTAGTTACAACACTGACCTGCCAAAGGCGCATTGCCTTCCACATTCATTCATCATGGGTAGGACCATTTTACGCCTCGTAGACGGAGCAATGGCCAGGTTTGTACGCATTTATAAAGCAAATATGTTTATTATTAAAATCCTCCGAGAGGGCTAAGGCAATCATCTGACTTAGCGAATGTCCGACGTTTCCGGGGTATGACTTTAGTTCAGACAAGTTTAGGAGAATCTAATGGGAATTGAAAATCCCTCCTACTTAGTAAAAGGCTAAGCTATCAAGAGTACGACCAGGGATGCCGTCTGAAAAAGTTAGGAAGGGGAGCTGTGCTGTAGGCAGCTTTTAGAAACCATTTATGTTGAATATTCTTTGTTGTTTTATGAAATCATTTCAACTATTCATCGACTAAAAAGACCAACAGGCATTTGCTCATTCATGGAAAATCAGTGGCAAAATAAAGGGTAAGTTACCATGGCCAAGAAATGAATCTGCCAAACTAAACATAAACTGGCTTCTTTTAGGGGGGCTAAGCCCCCCTGAGCCCCCATCCACGACACCACTGAACACGAGATTCAATTGTTTTTTATTTATGTTGCTTTTCGTAGATAAATTTATCAGTAATGTAAATATGGGTGGACTCGTAAGCCAGCGATTTTCCCTCCACTATGTAATTAAGAACCACAGCATCAGTAGTTTTCTGCCTTTCGCTGCATTTTGAGTATGAGCACCTAGCTTCAAAAATAACACGACATTAATTGTATATTGGCTGGTTTTATGTCACGATATATAGCATAAAAAACCCAAGAGTTCATATTTAAAAAGCGAAATTTCTAATCCCCAATATTCTTATTTCATCTTTAATGCCAAGATACACGCATTTAACTAACGCATTAAGATTAAAAAGCCAGAAAAAGACTTGAGGACTGTACATTTTTACCATAGTAGATACAGTCACATTAAAACAGACAAAGGCAAGTGCAAAGGCCATCATATTTAAATAACAACTTAATTAAACCTCTATTTTGCATGAACTGATAGCTTTGAAAAATGTTTCATGATCAGGTGCAAAGGGGGAGGGGTGCACATGGGATCCTTGAATACGAGGAGGTCCAACAGTTAGTTTGGGTCGTGATCTTGAAAAGTCGATATGTCTTCGGGTATCCAGAGGCGGATCCAGAGTGAGTTCCTTGGTGCACAGAACCCAGTCAGTTTTTCAACATATAGCTGATAATGGTGTTGCCTGAAACAAGTAATATTTAAACTAAAAAAGTGAAACCTAAAAATTCTAAGTTTTATCACAGTCTTTTCAAAATCATAAAATTGCCAGTTTCTTCTCTGTCGTGATTTGGAAACGATTTTCCAGATGCTGTGGAGGACAACAGCAGTCTAGAACTCGGAAATAAACGTTTTCTGCCTCGGAAGTGAATGAATTGAAACAATGAAATTTTTGTTTGGAACACGGATGCAACTCAGTCAAAACAGCATCTGGAACTCGGAAATGATACCATATTTCTAAGATCATCTGTACAATAGCCAGTAGTTCATTGGCTACCTATTGCTTCTGTTCTGTTGTGGAACTGCAAAACATTGAATTAGAAATGTCTGATTTTTGCGACCCTCGCAGAATTCTAGCAGATTATAAAGTATTTTAGATAAACCAGGGGATATCGTTAATCGTCCAGGAGTTTTAACTACCTTTGCTTTGAATTGCAGTCTTTGATGGCACAAAAAACCTTTGCTCAGACGGAACACCATATTTTGATGAATAGGCTGGTGTCTACGGAGGCAAAACAACAAATTGCGAGCAAAACAAAAGGGCAAAACTTTGCTGTGGCATCCAAAACAAACAAAAGGGTATTGAGAAAGGGAGGGGGTTGCAAAAATTTTTACAGAGGCACTGTTTTTGTCGGAATGAAATCTAGAATCTAGATTTCTTTCGAGTAGATAGTACTCACCCCTCCCCCTCAATGGTACCAAAATGCATAAATATGAATAATAATGTTGTCTTGTGCACAATTATCAATGCATTATCTGAAAGTCCCTAGCCTTGGCCTGGAACTTAGTCAGGTTTTTTGCTGGATCCGCCCCTGGGGTATCAATAGAGAAAATAGCTTTCCATGCCTGAGGGAGATAGGGAATGTGTATGATTTTGCAAGTGCTCTTTTTGGAGGTGTACCTGCCTTATTTAGGTTGAATATCAGCAACCTTTTGCCAAAATTCTTGGTGATTAGTGCGAGACCTTGGTGATTATTAAGGTTAAGCTGCAAAACCCCTTTCCAATAAAGTTTCCGCTGGAAATTTTTCTATTAAAATTACCCCACAATGTTACGAGAGATGGCAACATTAGTAAAAGTATTGAAACTTGAATACTCAGCTCGAACCATGCTTTCTATTAAAAATTGAGTGTAGTTGCTCTTCTAAAAGTCTTGTTACTTCAAATTTTTAAGATTTTCCATATAGTACCTTTAAGGCGATGTAAAATTGAAAATTTGGTATATCTAAGGTATTATGGTATTATGAGAGCTTTAAGTTACCGCGAGTTGTTGATCGTAACATAGTTAGTATGCCGATGAATTTCAATCAAATATTTCATGTATCTTAATCTTTGGGCGTTTAGATTGTCATCCTAAGATATTGCAATATAAAATGATGCTGCATATCTCATAAATGGGATAGTTCTGGGTCCATCTTTAAGGAGAGTGATAGTTTTAGGTGGAAAAAGATTTTCCTGATGGAACCCCCGTTTGTATAATGCTTGAGGTCCCCTTTGTGCCTGCTCTGCTACTCAAACATGTTTTAAGCCCAGATTTACTATTAAAGAAGATTTGAGGCAGCAAACGTGTGCAATTGATTAAAGAAGCAAAGCTGATTAAAGTTGTATTCGCTTCCAGGGTAAGTGTGCTGCAAATTTCTGGCAAACCTGTTCTTGTCAACCACCAAATTATGGCAATCATGGCTGTAAGAATTTTTTCTTTCACGGCATTGCTCTCGGTTGTAATTTGTGCACACTTATTTTAAAAAGAACCATTAGATTTAGGTCCAGGCTGACTGTTCTTAATTTTTTCGAAATTCTGAGGCTGTATTGTTCCTAATTTATTCTTAACTTGATAGGATGTACGCAGTGAGATTGCTGGCTTTTTTGCTCTGGGGAGGTATTCGGGCCTCATCTGCTAACCAACATTCATTTGCCGACAAATTTAATTATTCATCGAAAATACACCCACACATTGCTATAAATCCTCGTTCTTTGAGATGAAACATTGTTCAAAATTACATTTTACAGTAGCTCAGCCTCAGCTTGTTCTTAATTTGTTCCTAATTTTTGACCAATTATAAGGCTCGTTATCTTATAGAACTATCTTAAAAACAAGTTTATATGCTAAAAACTGCATATTCGAATGATATATCAATTTTGCCTTCTCTTCATTCAGTTTTAGCTAGCTGCTTTTGCTAAATGCTTGTGTTTTGTTAATCATTAACTTAGTGCTTGTAGGAAACTTGATACTGCATAAAGCTCTTTACAGCTTTCTTCTTTGAATATGTCAAGTCTGCTGAACGCACCTGCAAAATCTATAAACTCCACCTTGTTGCTTTCATCTGAGAAACAAATGTGATTCGGAAAAGCTGTTACAGTAGCATGTACAGTGAATATACTTGTCGTTACGAGGATTGATCGAATAGTTTGTGACAACACAGAGCTTTGACCAGAAATATATGTGCTTAACCCTTTTACTACACTTCTTCAATCATTATCAGTTAAATACCTCCCTTGACTAATTTTTACAGAAGTTAGTTATATTAAACTTATTTAAGCATATTACTGCTGAAATTCTAGTATATTTGCTAGGAACACCCAACATTTGGTGCTGTGCCTTTCGATTTTTCATTTGTTTTCCCGAATGCTACTATTTCTGTCACCCTTTCCCCAGAACAATATTGAAAGTTTATATTATACAAGCCACAAACAAGAGCAAGTACTCCATTACGTCTTTCCTTTTTTATAGCAAACCAACATTGTTTCTAGGGGGAGAGGGGGTGCCTGAATTTGCCATTGAAAACTCACCTTAGTGTTCCAAGACTTTTGGCAGTGACTGTAGAATGTATGTATGCATGTATGTATGTATGTATGCATCATGCATCATGAATATTTTAAAAGAATATGTACATTTCAATTAAATACAAAATGCTATCAACATATGTCGATCTGGAGGAACAGTTCTAAGCCTGTATGCTTCGTATGATAATATAAATGATCATACTCTGAAATCGGAAAACAGCCTTTGCCTAAATTCAATACTTTTTCACAAAACTTGATAACAAACGAAAAAGCACCTTTGAATTTAAGCACGTTCAAATTGAAAACCATTAGCTTAAACCGAACCAGCTGTTTATGACGGATTTTAGGTACGAAAATGAACAATTATTAAAATGAAATGGTGTTAATTATATTTCCTTGGTGAGGGATGTCGTAAAGCTAATAAAACGCTAGAGAAATCATAAAATATATGTTGACAGCTGAAGCGCAGTAGGCGATGCGATCGACTTGAAACCAAGGGGTTTGGAATTGGAGCCGTCTCTTCGCCCGAACCAATGGTTACTTTGTTTGTTTAACTGGTCCACTTGAAATCAGGGTTGACAAGAGGGGGCAGGTGGGGGTAATTTGCCCAGAGCCTCAGGGTTCAGGGGTCCTCGTAGAGAAACAAATTCTAATATAAGCATTATATTAATCAAACCTAGCAAGTGTATGCCTAAAAATAGAAAAGCGTTTAAATGACTGCAAGAAATATTCTGAAATGTTTTTTAAACAAGTCTAAAGAGCGTGGTCGCTAAATGGGGGCAATTTTCTTTACTTTTGCCCCTGAGCTTCTGAAACTTCTCGGTGGCCGTGCTTGAAAGATCTCAAAAGGGTACTTCTAAGCTGGCTCTTGTGTTAAAGACTGATGTAAAATTTGAGACATGTAAGTTGACTTAGAACTCTTTTCATTCACAATGCAGATACTAGCATAGTCAAGGTGCAGATGCAAGGAATTATAGAGACGCACTCTGATGATCTAGTTTTTTGATGTAACCGCTTACTAACGGGAATCAAAAGAGGATTGTTTGTCGATTTGTATCAAAAAGTTGTAGAAGAAAAGTGGAGATGGATTGTAATTAAATTTGAAGATGATTTGCGATTGTTCTTATAATTTTAAATAAATAAACTAATAATTGTTTTCAGCCACATGAAAATCTTCAGTTAAACCGATGGTCTTGGCAAATCACTTTTGAAAACAAAATGAAAGAAAGTTACAAAATGTTGAACTTTATCGAAACATAACATTCATTGAAAAATTGATGTTTTGAACACCTTTATTGAGAGTCACGAGAAAACAAATTCTAAATAAAAACCGCTAGAATGATGTTTTGTGAAGCTTAGAAAGAAAGTATTTTTTTAGCTAGAGGCTTTGAAATGTGAAAATGGTACACAATTTTCTAGTTCATCGTATCACAATAGGCCTTTAAGGTAGGAGACAGTCAGTTTTTCTCATTTGCTAATTCTAGCACAGCTCTCTTCGATTTGCCTGTTTGAAACGATGAGTTTCGAAATCTCTGCCTTACGTTTTCAACAATATATACTTATTTATTCAGAGCTCTTTTAAATTCTCTATGAATTTTATAATCGACTTGGAACTTTATGTCTAAGAGAGATTTGAATTTTGATTTCTTCTGCTATAGCAAGCAAACACATAAAAAAACAGGAAAAAACATCTACGACACCCTTGTTTGTGCAAAAATATTTCGCTAGTCTGCTCTTTATCTCCTTCCAGTTTAAAAGTAAATTTATTTAAAAGGCTGCTATGTCGTTAAATATTTATAATACAACAAAACAGATTCTTGCAAAAGAAGTCTGTTTTCAGGCTCGTTTTTTCATTCTGAAATGGACCAGAGTCAAGCTGAAATGAATGTCCCCAATCTACTCCGCTACCTTTTCAGCTTCGACAGAAAGTTAATTATACAATAATCCTCGAGTTTTAATCAGACCATCTGCCTGAATTTGTCAAATGCAGAGGATCGTTAGATCAAAGCATATCCGTTCAATAGAAAGCGGTCATCGTGAAGAGTGTTGAGGCCATTTAACTTCTTTATAAAATGCTCTTTGTTTGAGTCCGAAGAAAGAGAGTTTTCCACATCCTGTCCCGGGCTGTCGCTAGTTTTTGTGTTCGGGGGGGGGGGATGGGGGTTCCCTTGACGAATTGGATGAGCCATTCTTTACTTGCCGATAAATTTCAAAATTCGCTTGCGAAGCATCCCTAAATGGTGTAAGACTTCTCGTTTTGAAAGGGATTGTTTTCTGTTTAGGGTTATCACGCCCCCTATGCACCCAGAGCAACGGCACAGATCCTGTCCCCCACACTGACTACGGGCATATCAGAATGATGGAATTGGGTCTTAGGAAAAAACCTATAAATCCATAAACAAATTCGTAAGATCCATATCCCAATTTTCAATCTTGCTGGAAGTAGAAGTCATACATAAATTTTTCTTGGTCATTCCTTGACATTTTGCCAGACAAATGTCAGAAATACTTAGGGGGCTTGAAGTCAAATACCGTAATACCTCGAATAAGCGCTCGGGCGCTTATTTAATTTTTGAGGCTCCAGGGTGGGCGCTTATTCGAAGAGGGAGCTTAATCGAGGGGGAGCTTATCTAAAAAATGGATTTGGAAGTCACTAAAAAAATGAATGTATTTTCAATTGAAGCATGCTATTATGATGGAAAGGCAAAAAATGAGAATGAAAACTATAACAAACTGTGTTGGTCATTCAATCTTTCTTGGTGAATTGCCTTCCAATTATTTTGTCGTCGAAAATTCGAATAAGCGCCCGTTTCTGAAGGTTGAGGGATGGGCTTGTTCGAGGGGTGGGCGCTTATTCGAGGGGGGCGCGTATTCAATAATTCCGCCTCTAGGATGGGCGCTTATTCGAGGGGCGCTTATTTGAGGGGGGCGCATGTTCCAGGCATTACGGTAGACTTGTAGATAATCTACTATTCCTTTTTTAGTACGTATCTACAAATCGGGCACAAATCACGACACATGCATGAATCTTTACATTTCTGTAAATTAATCTTAGCCACATAGTGCAACTAAGATTTAAATGTGCTACTAAGTTTTAAATGCAATGTAGCCAAGCCTTAAACTGTCCCTGAAATAGTTTTCATTTTATAGGTGGAAGGATGCGTAGATTGATGGGTTTAGGAGTTAACTTATAGTATATTATACTGATTTAATATCAGGAGTAAGTTGAATCCCAAGACCGTAAAAATTATACTGAAAGAATGGCATTGTCTCTTTTAGGCATAGAAGGTACTATGATACAGTCAACCACGGCAAACTTAATGTTAAAATTGATAGATCAATCCTTAATGATCATATGGGTAAGAAAACTCTTCATCAATCACTTTCCAAAGAGAGAAATTAATTTATGCAGATTGTTTCTAGGCAAACAAATCGTAACATTGGTCTATCAAAACATAACATTAAGTAATTGCTTGACTTATGTTTAAGGTTTCCACAGGTTGAAATCAATGGTACAATAATATTATTAAAAGACTACAATCAATGACTCGTGGATTTCATTGTTAATACTAAATGCTGTGAAACATTTTAAGCTTGGTTAAAGAAGTCTCGAACTAGAATAGTTACGAAGAGAACATTTTTTATTGATAGAAAAATTACTAGAAAGCAAATGATACTATTTATATAATTGATGGGCAAGTGAAATAACAACGTTAAAAAATTAGCAAAAGAAGTTAATAATTTTGTGAATTAATGAAAAATATATAAAGTAAGTTTATGTGTGCAGCAGTTTAAATCTGGAGTAGCGTTAGATCTGTTCAAGTCTCGTTCCTTGAAAAGTCTCATTTTTTGTTTACCGCAGTTACCATGTCATGCGAATACCAAAGCTGCCCTGCCCCCGGTTCCTAGTCCACGTGCTCTTTTGCAACAACTGGATTCAAAACAACATCAAGCAACTTTGCCATTGCCATGTGCTTGGAACAGTTTGAGAACAGATATTCATCTGATAATTTCGCCTAGGAGCCTTTGATAACCTGCCTTCGCAGTCGTTGACCCAAGATAGTCAAAGGAAAACTATAGTTGCCCTGCTAGGACTTCCAAATGTTTCTTTTGTCAAAAGCGGAATATTTTAGACCCCGAAACAAAAACACGAAGAACAACATCGCTGCTTATGAAAGATTAATCTGAACTTTGAAGCCTTGCAGACTTGGTATCTAAAGATACCAAGCAATTAAGAGCTAGCTGGCCGTGCCTTGATTTGCTGTTATTGAAATCTGCTTTTGAAGATTTGAAGCAAAATGATAACAAATGCTGGAATAAGCTTTATGCATGATAAAAATTTTCAATTGAGTCAACACACGAAAAACATTCACCTCGTGGCATTAATCTGGCAATTTTTGATAACAAGAGAAGAAGCATTTTCTCGAATAAGCATTTAAATTTAACGCATCCACGTGGATCTGAACCCTTTTATATCAGATACCTTGTTGTGGAGATAAGTGGACGTCGGTCGCTTAAAGAAGTGACACTTCTTTAGCATTCGTAATTGGCTCCAACTTCTACCGAAAATTATTTCCATGTCACAAAGAAACAGGGTAAGAAAAAGAACAATTTGGAAGACTGTTACTTATGGAAGTAAACTTTGATATTGAGGAGACGAAGTTATCGTTTGCGTGGAACATGAACAGTATCTACATCTGTTTGCACAATTCATATTATTGCAGACGATATGGTCAACACTAATAACATCTCGATGCATTTTTGTTGACATCATCACCCATTTGGAAGACTATTAGTTATGGGAGTAAACTTTGATATTGAGGAGACGAAGTTATCGTTTGTTGACATCACCACTGTATTGAAGCGGTCGGGGCTCTCTCTAATCGCTACACAATTTCTTTGGCAGTCTTGTTGATTCGATTTTTATGAATTTCAATGGATTTATCACACCAGATATAATCTTTTATTGTGAATTCTATAATCAGTACTATCTTGGGGTAGTTTTAAGCCAATTTACATCAATCCTGCCATTTGTTTACAATTAAGGCGTACATGCATCGTTGATTCGGGAACATGTGATCTTTCTTTGCTAGCAGCTGACTGTAAATGGCTTCAAAATAACGACAACAGGATGTGCAAGAATCTGCTCAAACTTTATTTGCACGAAATTTAAGTTATGTAATAAAAGAGAAAAATAATTCTATTTCAGACGAAAAAGAAGTTCAAGAACACTGCTTTAAGACTCGTGCAGTCGCTGCAAGAATACAAGAGGTAAATATTGCTTTAGATTTTGAAGAGTAGAAGTCCAACCTTTCTTACACTATGCAATGTTCTATGTGAAATAAACATTCAATTTTGATAACTTTGAACGACTTGAATTTATGTTTAATCTAAGGACAGTGCCGGCTATAAATTGCGTTGAAATCAGAGTGTGAATTTTGCTGAGCTCTTGTATATTATCGGCAAAAACGTGAGCCAATTATATCATACCTTCCACTGGCAATTGGTATGATTCCCTGATACTTGCAATATGTGTTTGGAAAGTATGGGGACCTTACTGTGAAACGAATGTATGACATCTTGGACGCTAAAGAAAGCGAATTTGAAATAGGCCAAAAGAACTTTTCATGTCTTCGACTGACTGCGATTAATGATGGTCTTATAGACCCCCATTCTGAATAAACTGATGGTGGATTGGTAACAAGATTGCAGTTGCATTTTGAGTTTTTGTCTGAAACCCGTTAGCAATACATCATCTTGGGAATTATAATGTCTGCTTTTGTGTGAAGGATAAAAAAACAAGAACTACCCTCCGTTTATCAAACAAATAAAATTTTTCTAAGCTGTAACGAACAGTATGAACGTGCACTTTCTAAGAGTCTATGCTCTAACGTCATACGTAGTCTTTGCTAGAGTTTCCCTTTACTTTCCTCAGAGCAAAAATTTCAGGGGTTTTGCACTTGGAAAAATAAGCATATTTATAGCCCTTGGTGAAATTCGAATACCTTGTAAGTTTCAATATTCCAAATTTAAGAATAGTTTTATTTACATCTGCGGGCATCAACAAATAGCTAAATTTTGCTTTCAAAGCTGGCATTGGTGCTAGATATTAAGAATGGATGGCTCGAATTGAGTCTGCCAGTCTCAGAAGAATATCTTAAGCAGCCCAAAATACCTCTAAAAACCTTACCTTACCTTACCTTTGAAAACCTTACCTCTGAAAACCTTACCTCTGAAAACCTTACCTTTGAAAGCCTTGCTTTTTGTAATCCAGGAGTTCTCTGGCCTATCATGTAGGGATGACTACCTACCTGTGGGGAAATCTAAAACGATCCTGCGGCAAAGAGCGTAGAGTTGAGAATGGTCATGGCCTGAAGCGGTTCAATGGGGGTCAATTCCCTTAAATTAAGCCTTAACAAGGTATTGGCAGCGACGTAGCCAGGGTGGGAAGAATGGAGGGACCATGGCGAGTCCGACAAGAGGGGGTCCGGGAGTTAACCCACGGGTAAACTTTTTCAGACCACACCCTTCAGAATTTGGTAAAACGCCTTAATTTGTAAATGTGTCTGAAACTAGCTATGTCGTTTATATAACAGTTGATCTAGCCCAATGACAGGCAATGACTCGAGATGGCTCTTTTAATTCTTCAGGTAGTTAATTCCTTCACAATTTTTCTCACGTTTTATGTTCGAAATTGTGTTAGATGAGGAGGCTCTTGGTGTAGACAATTTACTTTTCAAAGTTGTAAGCAAATATCTATAAATAATAAACAGTAAGCAAAAGCTTAAAAAAAATTCTTAAGCAACATAACCAATATAAAAAATTTCAAGTATTGTTAAATAAGGTGAAAATTCAATTGGGAATGTCTCGAGAAAGCAAACACAGGAGCTCCTCTGCGAGCGTGGCATGTATTTTTTGCGACCACGCCCTTTAGATTGGCTTACAATGAATTTTGAGTATAGGCAAAAATGGTGTGGCGTGGCAGACAGGCATGGCAAAAGTATCCATTTTATAACTTTCAAATTTCCTTTGATTTACTTTACCACATCAAAACTCTATGGCAATGACATCGAAATTTATATAGTATTGCTTATATGAATATTTCTATCCTCAGCCAACATAAATCCAACTGATGGGGTGCAAAAAAGCTTGCATTGCTTTGTCGGTCTTTGGCTTCTTCGTTTTGACTTATGGGAGTATTGGAAACAAAACCAAAATAACAGTTGGCTTGCTAGCTCCGTTCACTGGTTCCTGGGACAGGGCACCTAGATTTGCATCTGCCGTTGGGATAGCTGTCGATTTCATCAACTATAATACCAGTCTCCTGCCTCGTTATCATTTGCAATTCGTACATCGAGATACTGTTTGTAGCGAGGCTGGCGGCGTTGGTGCTGCCGTGAATCTCCTTCAGAAACAAGTGAATGTTTTCATAGGTCCTGCATGTTCAAAGTCGTGTGTCCACGCAGGCTTCGTTGCTGCAGCTAAGAACATCCCTATGATATCCTACGGCTGCTCAACAACAACTCTTTCAAACCCTGAGCTTTATCCAAATTTTTCCGTACCAAGCCGTTTGCAAGAGGAAGCAAGATTTCAACCCCACAAGCTGTTGGTGTGATAATGGACAATTTCAAATGGAAGCATGGGTGCTTAGCTGAGGATATAGATCCTGTTTTTACACCTCTGGCAAGAGAAACGATGGCTGTGTTTGCAAAAAAGAACATCACAATAGGAAAAATAGAGCGATTTTATCCCGATACGTATGATGAAATGGAGCTGATGAACAAGCTAAAACCAGTATGCAGAAGTAGGTATATATAACATAGTGTTGTCGTGTCTTGTGACAAGTAAATATTGTTCGAATGATGCATTCATAAAGCAGCTCCATGCCGTGCTGTTACTGTTTAGAAATGAACCTAAACATTCATAATATTTGTTTTGAATTACAGTGCATTCTCGTCGTCGTTTTGCTTTGTTTCTGAAATTCATTTTCGTATTTGTACTCATTGCAAGATTCACAGAATCCGGCGGACAGCCTATCCTGCGGTTCATACTTTTTGCACATTCACAATATTGCTTTATTGCAGTACAGTAAATATACGTAAAAAACACAGGCGTAGGAAAAATAGAGGCTCGGACGTTGCAGCCCCCCAAATCAGGAAAAGTTGTCTCATTTCAAGCTTTGTTTGGGCAGTTCTATCTAAATGAAGCAATGATATTCGGGCAAAATCTATACTTCCCCCTCCCCCCTAAAATGCAGCAACCGCTAGAGCAATTAAGACTCTTGATCTCAGCCTTGGTCCTATGAATTGATGCATGCCTCGGGAATTTTTTGTGTGTCAAATGATTGAAACTTGAAAGTAAGTAATGATTGAATAAGGCTTTATCAAAATGCATAATTCTTCAAGTAACTTTCGATCTGCATCTGGATATGAATTTATATAAGGCTCTACCGATGATATAACAAGTATACAATAGTCTAATCGATCGTTCTTTCTTCTAGTTATAATCTTCTTGTGCTACAGCAGAGATGTAGCAAGGATGTCTGTGGCTGCAAAAAAACTCGGCATGCACAACGGGGAGTACATGTTCATTGCAGTTGATCTTGAGATTGCGAGCAGTTGGGACAGACAAAAGTTCACTCGAGGCTTAAGGCCTGTGAAGAACGTTCTCAGTGGGATAATAAGTGTGAAGGTCTCAAAAGTTGATATGAAGGAAAGCAAATACAACTCATTCAATGATGAAGTGATCAGAAGAATGGCACAGCAGCCATTTAACATCAATGTAACCTCTTCGGTATGTGTAACAATTAAGTTTAAGTCCAAGTTTACGCGAAAAATGAATTAGAGAATTTTGGATACTTTTGGGTCCGATCCCAGGTGTTTTTACCAAAACCATTTGCCTTTACACTGGATCGGTCGTAGCTAAGATCCACAAGCTACACGCATGCGCATTTTATAAGTTGCTGGCTACAAAATTAATCTAAACATGTCCAACCTGGACCAGTTTGGACCGAATCTGTATGGGATGGCCTCTGAAGATCACCATAGTACTCATACAGTGGATCCAAAAGTATACGGATCAACTGGTCTCCTTTTAAACGTGATGTCCCAAACCGGCTCGCCGTTTTAATAGTTTTTTTCTTTGATTTTTTTGTTTTTGGTATATAATTCAGCGTTTAAGGTGGCAACAAAAAATTACCACTCATTAGTACTGAACTCCAAATTAGAAAACTTCTGTCAGTGAATTAGTGCAATGTTTTGTTTGATTGATATAGAGCTTATCGCTTTTAGACCCCCAAACGACCGATTTAGCCCCTTGGACTCAGATGAGGGCCAATCCTTAGAACAAAAGTTTTGATAAATGCCCTTATCCGAATAGCCACCCAGTCTGAATAAGCGCCCACCCTAACAACTTGAAAATCAAATAAGCGCCCAGGGTGCTTAATATATGCAAGTATATGACCTGACTAAGAATATTCATAAACGTAGACCAGGTAGGAAATTTCCACTTACACTTTCCTCTAACCAGTGTTAATCGCTTGCTTCCACTTCTAGGTACTCTCTTCAGCCGCTTATTTATATGACGCTGTGTTGCTATACGCTCATGCATTGAACAAATCATTATCTAGTGGAAACCATTGGAATGACAGTTCTGCTGTTACTCAAGCCACTTACAGTACAGCATTCACAGGTATGGGACTCGATATACTAAAGTCAAACTGACACGGTTTTACCGTTATTGATACTTAAGCTACCATAACACAATTTTAGACCCAGGGCCTAAGGCGGCCATAAAGTCAACGACTGTAAGCAAGACCATTTGAAGTAAGCATTGGCACAATCACACCCAACAACCTACCTAATTATAATTGTTTTTCTAGATGAAGTTAACATTGGCACAATCACACCCAAAAACCTTTATAATTGTTTTTCTAGACATATTTTTAAAAAGAAACTTTTAAACTCTTTTTTCGACCCTTTTTTTATACGTCGAGCCTTTCTATCTACGTTTTTATCCTAAATATCAATCTATGATCGGATAATGAAAAAGTCACGCAACTAAACATGAAAGTCACGCAACCCCATTTTGTCAATGCTTTTGGAAAAGCTATGTTGTTTTCACGTGGCAATGGTTTGCTTGCTAATCAAACACAATAACCGTCATATGCAGCTTTTCGTGGCTGACGCTGTTTTACAACTGTCTATTTCCTTAACAATTCCTCTAACGGTTTTATTCTGATTGTGTAAAGTGACGAAGCTCTACGTGTAAAAACTGATTTTCCAAAGTTGTCAGCAAATATCCAAAATTATAAAAAGCATTTCAAAAGATTCAAACTAAGTCCGTTCTTCTTGGAGCAAAAATCTGCAAAGTCCCCGACAAGCATTTTAGAATCCAGTTTTTAAGGATTGGAGCGCTTTAGCACCTTTTTTCTATATACTCTTAAAGAAGGGGAAATTGTAAAACATTCTGTAGAGGTAAGAAGAGGACCCTTGTGAGCGAAGCGAGCAGAAATTTCTTACAGTCGTTTACTTGCAGTCGTTTACTTGCAGTCGTTTACTTGCAATCGTTTACTTGCAGTCGTTTACTTGCAGTCGTTTACTTGCAGTCGTTTACTTGCAGTCGTTTACTTGCAGTCGTTTACTTGCAGTCGTTTACTTGCAGTCGTTTACTTGCAGTCGTTTACTTGCAGTCGTTTACTTGCAGTCGTTTACTTGCAGTCATTTACTTGCAGTCGTTTACTTGCAGTCGTTTACTTGCAGTCATTTACTTGCAGTCGTTTGCAAACTTTTTAATTTTGTCTGAAGTATCAACTCCCCTGAGGTACTTATTTTATTGCAGATTTGCACTTTTTATAGATACCAACTTTCTGAGCATTGCCCCCTCTCTCTACGCTACTGATGACAACATAATCATTATCCTTACAATCAGCTAGCTTGTAGCTAGTAGTATTTTTCAAAGGATGCTTACTATGATTAGCAACAAACGAACCTAACGTCTGTAATGTGTAATTTTCTGCTCTATTAAATATTTGCATGCTCTGTTCAGTTTTTTGCTGTTGATTATACGAATCCAGCCACCCAACTCTAAACAGCCGAACAAGTTCTAATGCACCATGCGGCTTTTCATTAATCTCTCATCGGTTTAATCTTTAGGAATAACAGGCCGAGTGAGGCTAGATGAAAACGGTGACAGAGTACCCATCTTTATTGTGGACAATGTACAAAATGGCGCTTTTATTGCAATGAAAGAGTTTGATCCGGAATTGAATTTGACCAACGTTTTGCGTCTGGATTATGTGTTTCCTGGTGGTACAAAAGTTCCACCTAGAGCTATTCCAGTTTGTGGGTTTGACGGAAAGCTATGCGTTCCAGGTGAGTTTGAGTTCTTGATGTTTACTTGCTTTTAATTGCTACACTCTTTTTTATAAGAACCAGATAATTTTTGCCGAGCCTCGATGTTCTTAACTTTTCAATACTTTCAGGCTCAAATGTTCTTATAATTGTTCTTATTTTAAGAGTTATTTTTTTGCAAATATTTGAGAAGTTACATACTATATAAAGTTCCTTAGACGTTTTACCGAGTAAAGTTTAAAAATAAAGCAATGACTGCTAGTGTTAATGGACAAACTCATCAATGTTTTTTTTGCTAAGAGAATGTCGGTACAATAGCTGAGTGCTTGTGAAAATTTCCGTTAATGAGCTGAGCATGTTCTAGCCTTGTTCTTATTTTTTGGGCAAATCGAGCCTCAGTGTTCTTGTAAAGGGTGTTCTTATAAAAAAAGGAGTGTAGACATCTGACTGTGTTCTTTTTATCGTTCAAGTCTTCTTGGTGCAATTGAATTTTACGAAGAAAGTAAATCACCATAGCTTTTGCCTCCATCGTGGCATATGCCAGTTACACGGATTATGCACATAAACGTAGACCCAGGAGACCCCCCTCCCCCACCTTAACGTTTGGTATGCTTCCTACATCTATGATATGGCCTTTAGCGATTTTATCTTCATATTTTTAATGACGGACTGAAATCTATTTCATGCCATTAATCCTTCATATTTCGTCATCAAATCTTCTCTTTTACAGCCTCTTTGGGTTATTTTCTTTCTTTTTTTATGAAAATGATTTCATCGTGATATGGTGAAAAACACGATTTTCTTTTGTAGGGAAGAAATCTCAAGCTGCTCTCAACATTGCAATTATCATCCCCTTTGTCATCCTTTTACTCGGAACGCTCATCTTCTTTCGATACAAGTAAGTTATTTTCTGGTTTATTGATTATTTCTGACTTTTGTAGATTTTGAGCTATAGCCCCTAACTTTCAATGTTTGCTTCAAATTAACGGATTTTCTATAAATCAACTTCAAAGTGTAACCTTTTTCAGCAAATTTTATTGATAGTTTCTTTTCCTTCTTCTGTAAGAACCTTGCACCCTATGACATAACTAGCCTTTGGCAATGATAAGAAATCCTATCAGATAGGACACGAGATGAAGACCAACCACTCCTGATACTTCCCATGAAACTAATCATAAAGTTTAAAAAATACAATCTTCGCTGCAACTTCTTGACGTGTTTAATATTACGTCCCTGCCATTTAGTCACAATTCTAGCTCCATGATAAATATTGCTCGACTTTATTTATATTTTGCTGATTCATCTTGATACTTGTGTATTACGTCAAAGATGTGAAATATCAATATTGATAAATATTTGTGCTTCTAGTTATTCAAATCAATGCAATATAGTTCCACATAGTCCTCGCTGTAACATAATGTTTGAAGCAGAATTCATGTTTCAAGCACACCTAGTAGTAATAATCATAAAAACACCGAATTATAATTTCTTGACCTTTTTACTTTGAGCTTTTTGAGGCGCTGGTGCCCAGAGTTAGGTAGACTCTTTTGCCTCAGAATCAGTAAGGTAAGCATTGGGAATTGAAACCATGTTTCTCCATTCTTCGGGAATATGAATGTTTTCAAAATGATGCTTATTCCGTTTTCTTACCTAGAATGACAGGGCTGGATTACATTGTGCCTCTAAATTCTCGTGCACTCTCTCTTTTTGAAAATCATGGCCTCGTCTCTACAAAGCATAATTATCCTTAATCGAAGTTGTAAATCCAACTGAAGCTTTGTTCTTTTTACCTAAATACATTTTGCTTTTTAAGGAAATGGAAGTACGAAAGAGTGACGTTAGAGAAGGAACTTATTGTCAATTGCAACGAAGTTGCGTATACAAAATTTGGAGAGTCCCAAACCAGTAAAGTCTCTTATAAATCTGTAAGTAGAAGTGATTAGGTAATGCCACATATTTGGACTGCATATTCATAATGACAATTGCACTAAACATAGAGTAAAATTTTGAAATTTTGGCTGTGACTTCTAGCATTGAGACTAATCACAACAGTGTTGTTCCTGTTTTGGTATACCTAAAACAACCAGGGGTTCAGTGAAAGGGGACTAGGAGACTGAGCCCCTTGTCAAAATTCAGAGGGAGTTACACAACAGAGGATCTTAAATACAAAGTATTCTTGATGCTGCCATTGGTGTAGCCATGGTTGTGGCTTCCATTAGTTGATTACAGCACAGGCCCTTCATAAATTCTTAGAACGTCACTTTTGCTCATAATGCCTTTTGGTTTCCGAAGTTTTGCATTTGGCATTGTGTAAGAGTGTGTGTGTGTTACTTTATTTTCATTCAATATGCAAAAATAGCTAGCAATGTATACATTATTTAAATATGTAAAAGTTGACCAATCAAAATCGAATATACAAAGCAAAGAAAAGAAAAATAGTATTTCTAAATTTACAAGCTCTAAGTTCTGAATTGAATTTTCTTATCAAAATCTTGAAATTTTCTGCTGATTTTAGTTCACTAGGTAAACCATTCCAAACCTGGTTACATAGTTTCAAAGGTTAAAAATGTTTCTACTTTACTTTGAAATCTATGTGTTTGATTTTCGCCCACACAGATGATTAAGGTCTTAACTTTTCCAACCCATCTGCTTCAGACAGAATTAATGGTTTTAGACCTTAAAAGACGTGGATGTCAAACGGATGTCTCTTCTTAATTCTTTGCAGTCTATTTGCAGCTTACTTGAGAAATTTTTAGCACTTACTATTTATACTTGTCAAAACAACCTTATCGCCACTTCCTTTTCCTCACTATGAATATTTTTTTCAACAGAATGTATTTTCAAAGCTTAGTGTTGCTTCAGATGAATACATTGGCAACTCAGATTTAGTTGGTGTCTATCAAACTCAGAGGGTTTACGTAAAAAAGTTCCAATGCACACTTTCACACCATTCAACGTTTTCAAAAGAGCGCCTATATCGATTGAAACAGGTATGCTGCTGCTTCAGGGAAGCAAGAATGACTGAGGGATTAAGGGGCAAGAGGGCAGGCTTCAGGCCAAGGGGCAGGCTTCAGGACAAGGGGGCATGCTTCAGGACAAGAGCATTTGGAAAACGATTCGCAGCTAGCTAAAACAAGCTCTCACGAACCGGAACATTTCTCTCAATCTACTGTCACCATCAAACCTGTAGGAAACGTTGCTTAGAAAAGGACTATAATCAGAAAGTCATGTGAATTTCCTTGACAATCAACGATGCAAATACAAGGGCGAGGGGCAATTCACTATTGCAAATAGCGTACTTGATTTTCCCTAAAACAAAAGGATTTCTGGGAATTTTCAGTTAAAACAATAGGATTTTCACGAAAGGTGTATGAGATTCTCTTGGAGTGATTTGCCCCTCATACAAGGGCACTTTCGCAAAGTGGCTAATGAGGCATTTTCATGAATCAGGTACTCGGGCCTCTGCTCCTTCTGTCAAGCCTCTCGCCCCTATCTCCGGGCCTTTCATGTTCTTACCCTTGATTCTTTGCTGTTTATCTGATGACACATCATGTTCTTTGTATTGACAATTCATCATCAGTAATGTTGCAATGCAATACACCTAATTTGATTAACCAAGCAAATGCAAACCTCCTTTTCAAAGTTAGTTTTTAACTCCCAACGTTGATACGAACTTACCTCAAAACTATCTGCTTCACAATTAACAGGAGAAATAATTTACAATGTTTTTTCAATAGAGATTTTGATCAATGTGTTAATGAGAAATTAAAATTGTTTTTCAGTAAAGATTGCAGTTTAGTCAAATTAAAAATCCCTTTATACCACAAATTTTCACTTCGCAGAATTTTTACTTGGTTTTACCCCCATTTTATGTAGTGTCCCCCATTCTAGATAAGAGATCTACATCACACAAACGTAAATTTGTTCATTGGTGCTGGACTTTGCAACAACGAGCTCTGGATTCTATGGGAACACTGCTCCAAAGGAAGCTTGCAGGTAAATTCTTCATGTTACATGCAGCAGAATAACACCAAGAACGAACAAGACAATTCCTTTTCTCACTCTTACTTCGTATGAAGTCATCTAATCTAATCTTCAATTATCAACGCTGTTTTGTTTTTAGTAACGCTGTCTAGCTATTCCAAGTTTATATACAACGTAAAATGTCATTATTTTGTAAAAAAGGTCTAGCCTCACGTTTAAATCCCTGAAAACTTTAAAGGAAATCTTCAGTCATCCAAAGAAGGACAATCATTGGCTAATGCTTTACGTAAGGGCCTTAGCGCCTTTATGCAAATTCCCTTTTGAGTAACGCTGGTGTGACAAAAAGTATAGGCTCTATATCGAGAAGGCGGTTTAGAGGAATCAAATATGACTGAAAGAATTAGGCCTGAACGCAGACAATGATAATGATATAAATTAAGTAAAGAAGATATTATTTATATGGCTATTGTCATTGCTAATAGATAGGCAATTGTTCCAAGAATAGGACAAGTAGTTTTGTTACACTTAAGTATCTTTCTGGCAGGACATTCTGCAAAATGATGACATCGATATTGACTGGATGTTCAAATTTTCGTTTGCTGTTGATATTGTAAAGGTAGGTAAACGTTTTGCATCTAAGGTACCTTATAAAGTGCAAAGATTTCCATTGTAGCAAGTAGGAATTTCAAAAGATGGGATATCGATAGGAAAGGATCAGGGAAAGTAACAAACATAAGTATGATCCAGAGACAAAGTTCTGGAAGCTCTTATGCTTCATGATCATTTTATTGGTTTTTAAGTGAAAGGGGCAATAAAGGTGAAAAGAGGGGTTTTCGCATTCAAAAACTCCTACATACGCTCCTGATAGCTATAGTGATGTGTCAAAAATCATTTTCTCCGAAAAAATTCTTCTTCACTTCTAGTCTCCTCTCTTCTATTTCCATGCTCAACATTGTGTGACTCTGATACCCAGGGTTCTATAGAAATTGATGAAGATGAAACAGGCCGAAATCTTTCCCTCCAATGATGAAGTTATTCAAAATGTTTAGATAGCGTAAAACTATTGCTAAGCTCCCAAATCTTCCCAACTTTCTCAGCACAATAGGTTAATACAAGTAAGGTATATTTTCAAGTGTGTTCTTTATGAAAGGTGCTATAGTCAGCATTATTTCTTTCAAACATTGTCTAGATATGCTTATCACAACCAAATTATCTCTTTCTTGGGTTCAGTTATAAAGGTTCTAGATTGATTCAAAACACCTGATATTTATTCGAGGCCTGTCTGTTAAAAAGAACTAAGCTTTGCTGTTAATGCTTCTTGACAGAGCGGTGTTTTCACAAATTCTGTTTTCATTTACTAGCCTTTTTGCCTATTTTCATCATGATGATTGCTTTTCTACATCTTCTGCTTAATTAAGACCCGCCTTGACTTCACATTACAGGCAGCAAACCTTTCCTTCTTGAACATCTGCATTAGTTGTTGTGGACACTAAAAGTATCAGCTTCCAAAATATTTTCTAGTAATACATTTAGAACGAGGCGATTCTCACAGCTTTCAGTTTTGGCAGCCTGTGCATGATTAGGAGAAAATCTCTTCTTAATTACTACCGTAAGCCCTTTGAAGAAGAAACTTGCATGCTTATACAAAACAACGTTTTACTCACTTCTCGGGGCAGGTGAACTTCCAGTTCTTTTGAGATTCCGTCTCTGGCAGGAAAATGACGTCGAAAGTATAAGAGCTTACAGGGTCTGTTGGGATGATTCTTTGTCTTTGCCGATTTTCTTTTATGGAAATGGGGGTGGCATCATAGAGAGCGGAATAAGAAATGTCCTTGTTTGAAAAAAGGATTTGCTGCATCCTTCAAGATCTCCAGCTCCCGAGAAACCTAAATCTCACATTTTTTACTCAGAGAAACAGTGATAAAGTGAAAGCTAAATTAAGAAATTAAAAGTGTTGATTTTATTCGATAGTTTAACGGCCATGTTGAACAAAAAATAGATCTTTTGAGTCATAAATGTATAACAATAGTCCTGAGAATTTCCAGGAGAAAGATGCAGTGACATGGCTAGAAGAAGTGGGTGGATGTGGACGGATAACTCGATAACTTAATCATAAAATGATTTTGAGAAATGAGCTCAGAAAAGGATAAATTTTCATTTGTAATTCAAAAAACGAGTATGTCCTTCAATGGAATGAATTTTTACTGCATCTATTTGTAAACGTGGCATAGTATTAAGGCCTAATTATCTCTGATTTTCATCAGGCAATGGTCGAGATTCACAAGCGATTCGGCGTTCATGGCAATCTCAAATCATCCAACTGTCTAGTCGACAGCAGATGGGTCATCAAAGTGAGCGATTTTGGTTACGATTGTTTTGACAGGCCTGCTAAAGATTTGGACGATCAATACCAGGATTCCAAAGGTAATAGAGTCTGAAGATGGCTTTGAAAAATGCAAACATTTTTCAGCATACTAGCTAACAGCTTTCTCGTCTGTCACTCCTCAAAGTATAAAACGTCTGTACAAGGGTCCAAAAGAACATGATGGTAAATATATAGCCAGTTGTGGATCAGAAAGAGTTCTAAAATGACTGCGCCACGTTCAATCTATTTTTGTAAAACTCGGATTGGGATCCCATTACCTGAAAGGGCATCACAAAATATTACTCAATGGAAGAAATCAGCTGATTATGTGAGCAATTGGCTAAGATATGGTCACATAAGTACTGACTCTTTCCCCATAAATCATTGCAATTTTTCCTTGTTCATCACTTTACGAACGAAGCCAAGAAACAGTGAACAAAGAATTGAGGAGAAGATAGAACAATTCTATATTGTGTTGTTCCAATATTTTTTCCAACGAATTTAATGAACTGGAAAATTTATTAAAGACGGGTAGCTCTGGGTCTATCAGTGGTGTTTTTCTGAAATAAGAAATAAAGTATAATTTCTTATTGTTAAGATGTCAGTCTTAGTAAGCAAATATCGAGATACAGTTTTTTGTTTGGGGGCCAGCCCTGATAAACAGCAACCATATTAAATTCAAAGTATTTTACTTATGCTACTAAAGTTTTTTGGGAGGCAAGCCTCCCCCCCCCCCTGGTATCTTGGTCCTTGTTAGTAGGTATTAGTAAATATTTATCATATTTATTAGAGTTAGATATGGTATCATATCCTTACCTTATTTTATGAGTGTAATGACCAGTGGCAGTTTAAACAGGTAAGTAGGTAGCTAAGTTCATGTGAAGAGTTGATCTAGATATTCTCAGAATAAATAAAAACAATGAAATAAATAGAAATGTATCAGAATGCGGAAAATTTTGTTTAGTCTGATGTAATTAAGCTCTATTTGATTAATTTTCTAGAAATGTTTTGGACTGCTCCAGAGTTTCTTGCCAATAATCAGCAAAATGAGAGAACGAAAGCTGGTGATGTTTATAGTTATGGAATCATCATGAAAGAGATTTGTTCCAGATGCGACCCTTATGAAGAAGCCTCACTTTCACCTTCAGGTACCAATGTACTTATTTATAATAATTAGCAAACTCATGAAGCATCTATTGCCTGTTTGATTTAAAGGCATCTTGTAAAGTTAAGAAAATTCCTGATAAAGCTACTAAATTCATGAGGTTAGCAATAGATCTTGATGACATATCATACCAATGCTCCATGTAGAGGGATATTAATATTTTTATTTTGCAGTATAAATGTATCCAAATGAAAAATAATCCAAAAACTATTTTTTGAAAGAAAAGTAATGGTTTGTCATGATCACAGAGACGATCACAGATAAAATGCTTTCACAGACAAAGCTAAATAGAAAAATCCTGATATCTTAAAAAAAAGATGGTCCAGTCAAATTTGAACTGTTTGAATGCTGCAAAGTGATAGCAGAAGTCATTTTAGCCGGAAAAAGGCACGATGCTGGAATAATTTGATAAACAATATAACTGTTTTAAAAAAAACCCCATCCTCATGCTTGAAAACTGTATAATTTGCTCTTGCGTCAAGAGAACTATCGGAGTAGATGAGTATCTGACAAATCTCAGGGTTGCAGATCATTCTGCCATACATTATAGAGTAATTTATTGTTTTGCTGTTTTATGCAAGTATCATGTGAAGCATGCATCAAAATAATTGTAAATAGCGAATAAAAACGATCATAACCTATGATATATATTTGAATGCCCCAATGATGTTTAAAATTATTTCCAGAAGGCATGAAATTATTTTCCATTGACAGAATTTTTCTTTATAACTTTAAGTTTCAAATTATTTCAGAGATTATATCCAAGATACAGTTCAAAACGATACCGCCTTTTCGACCGGTGTGCCCGGAGACATGCGATGTGCCTGCTGAGTTTATCGATCTTATGACTCAGTGTTGGGATGATTTTCCAGAAAAAAGACCTTCATTCAAAGATGTTTTTAAAGCTTTACGAGCACTTGGCCCAAAGTAAGACCTCAGTTTTTTAGTTTTTCTTCTATATTCATAATATACTTACATATGTATATTTTTTGTCTTTAGAATTTGTATTATTCCTAAGCATCTCTAGAGCAATAATGTCTTGCAAAAATAGTATAAATTCCATAGGCCAAAATTTTGATAAATCTAGTCAATAAAAGAAAAAAGAATATCGTCATTCTTGAGCCTTGGCTGTCATGTAAGGTCATTCCAAATACATCTACATAGTACTAGATACCCTTTTGAAGTCTCTTTGCCAACTTTCTCCCACAGCTGTAAACTTTACAACGTTCCATCATCCTGTTCCTGCTTCCCAGACCCTTATGACCTGTCATTATTCATATTTATTTCTATATATATAAATAGATATATCTCTATTTCTAATCTCTCCCTCTTTATCCTTGTTCAGGTTTTGCTATAGGCTTCCGTGTCTTTTTCTAACATCACCAACTGGTATAAGCTGCTATATTCAAAAAAGCTGTATATCACTTGAGGTTTTACTTGCAATTGAAATTTATTTCCAGGAACTTGAAAATGTATTCACTTTTCTTTGTTGTAGAAAATCGACAAATTTAGTTGATCAAATGTTAACAATGATGGAGAAATATACAAATAATTTGGAAGATTTGGTGAAAGAGCGAACTAGACTCTTAGAAGAAGAAAAAATGAAAACAGAAAAGCTACTGGAAAAAATGCTGCCACCGTAAGAATATCTTCTAGATATATTTGAAATTTTCGTGGGAGACTTTTGATTTTCCTAGATAATTTCTCAGCTGTGCTACAAAAGGACCGTGAAGGCTGACTTCTGATTCTGTGTAATCAATCTCAAGATGCTAATGCGAATATTGTTAGTGTGAGAATGTTAGTCTTGGAATTGCTTAAAGAGACTGTCGAGTCTTTTCCTTTTCCTTTTTACACTACCTCCCACATGCATTGCCTCTGACGGCCTAATTGCTGGCCCTAGGTTAGCATTGGGTCCTTGTTTAGTCTAGCTGTACTGGTAAGCCCTGATATGGGGCGAAGCCGGTCTACAGCCGACTGTTTGAGGCGTCAGTGGTTTCTTTACTTCACACTTCTATTCCAACTCTGTGTACAATACAGTCCGCCAAAACCTCAACACTGCATTGCGGTGCGGTTCTTAGTGAAATTGCCTAAAGAAATTGTCGAGTCTTTAAGACTCATGCCTACTTCTTTTCCTTAAAATGTTAGACCTTTGGCTAGTGTCACCAAAAAAGGAACCTAATGCAACTGTAAATTTCCAACGGAAATAAGATCCAATCTTTTTCATTTTTGATCCAACCAGCTACGATTCCTATATTCCAACAGACTTTAAATAGTTATTTAAGTGGAACGGGTGTCTAGAATTCACTCAAATGCATAAACCCATTTTAATTTTCCCTAGAAACTTACCGAATGATTCTACTGTATCTATAGCTTTCAAATTGCTTTGAAAAAATGCCTTTATTTCTTGCGCAGCAGTAAAAGACGTGGTTTGTTTAACAAGTGTACCACCAGTGATTCTGTTTGAAGAGCTTTTTCTATTGGACTAATAGTGAACACTTTAAAACAACTTTAAGTACTTTATTTGCAGTTTCAAATATTTGATTTTTTGCGTGTAAATACAATGGTTTGTAAGTAGGTATCAAAGACTCAGTGGCATGTGCGCAGTCTCCATTTTAATTTGAAACATTTAGTGTTTTCTTGACAAAAAACACGTGATGATAACACAAATTATAGAACCCAGCCTTTTTCTCGTCCCTAACACCGCTAGACCAGGTTATGTTAAAAGGCAGTATAAATTTTGCATTTTGCACAAAACACATTTTTATTAACTGTTTATAGCTTTTTCATGTTATGTTTCTAATTGTTCATTAAGCAACAGAAACGTTGTCTGTTGGATGTTTAAGCAGTACTCAGGTACACTGTTGGTATCATCCTTCTCTAGTTCAGTCGCTGAAGATTTGAAAGTGGGAAAGCCGGTCCTTGCAGAGCATTTCACCCAAGTGACCATTTTCTTTAGTGACATCGTTGGTTTTACCGCATTGGCAGCTGAAAGCAGCCCGATGCAAGTTGTACAGTTATTGAATGACCTTTACAGTGAATTCGATAAGATCATCCAAAATTTTGACGTGTATAAGGTCAGTATTGGTCTGGGGCTCAAGCTCCCTTAACCCGAATGCGTTAATGTTTTTTTTCTCTTCATGATAGAGATATAGGAATGCAATGATAGGGAATACACGAGTAAGCAAGTTCACAAGAATACCAATTTTCTGCTGCCGTTAATTTTTTCGGCTCTGGTACCCAGAGTATTTAATACAAGCACGTGGTATTCTCTGTCACACCGCTGTAAAGTGCGATAGTTAGATTGATAGTTCAAACTAAAAAAGGAAAATTTTCAAATCCTATCATTAAAAATATCGATAAAATGCTTTCTTATTATGAGTGGATAATTAAAAACAAAATTTTGAACGTTATTAAAGATAGGTTACACAGATAAGGGTTATAGTTATCCCACTAAATACCTTTTTGAACGTGAACAGTCTAATGCCACTTCGAAGAACTTCTATCTATAGAATTTCCCTTCCTTCAAAGCGTTGGCCTTTAATGGCTATTATGGTAGAATCCAATCTATAGAAATACTTTCTTTCATTTTTTATTTCGTACCAATTTCTGCCTTTAAATCGTAACATTGATGATGTAAATTTTTGAAAGTCACTTTTTTAATGAAAGCACGCTTTTTTATAGGTAGAGACAATTGGAGACGCTTATATGGTGGTATCTGGTCTGCCGAAAAGAAACGGAAAGAAGAATGCCGGTGAAATTGCTACAATGGCACTTCATTTACTGCATTCAATCCGATCATTCAAAGTCCGTCATAAACGTGACTATCAGCTGCAACTTCGAATCGGCATCCACACAGGTATGAATTATATCATTGAGATGCAAAAAGGACATAAAATTTTGTCAATTATGCTATTTGCATTGGACCCAAGCAATGTTCAGTCCGAGATTTTATATCGCAAAGAACACACGGGGGCGCAGCGATATTTTCAGCACGGTGAAATCCCAGCTGAGCTTTAAGATTGTATCTCAAAAGGCTTCAGTGTTCCACCTTAATTATGAACATACTTCTGCTGACACAAGCATTAGTCCAATATTCTCGCCCATTTCTAATTTTCGTGATTTCGGACATCTTGCATTTGGTTTTTATATAATTATAATTTTATCCTTAGCAAGTTGTTGAGCAGCTTTGGTGTGATTGGTGACGTGGCCTTTAGAAAAATTTGTTGCTATTTTAATGCACAAGGTTTATTCCTTATTAGACTCACCCACTGTCAACAGGATGATACTACTGTACTGCTACGATTTATGCCCCAGCCTTTAGGCCCTGACCAGTTTGGCAACATTCCTCCAAACAATTTTATCCTAAAGACTTCAAGTTAAGCAAATTGTATTTGTTTCTGTTAGGGAGCTGTGTTGCTGGTGTTGTCGGCTTGACCATGCCCAGGTACTGCCTGTTTGGTGACACCGTAAACTTTGCATCACGTATGGAGTCAAGTGGCCTTGCGTTGCGAATTCACGTTAGTCCCGCATGCAAGTCGGTGCTTGATGACCTTGGGGGTTATCATCTTGAGAAGAGAGGGCCAGTTGTGATGAAGGTAATAACGCCAAGACGCATTTTTATATGTTTTCAATAGGAAATTGGACGTTCACCAACTCGTCAGAATGTGGCAAGGAGAAACATCGATAACGATTTACAATTAGCATCGCTAACCAGCCAGGAACAATGCACAAGATAAAATTTAACTTTCTCGCAAGAGAATTTATAGAGGATACTAACTGTTCCTTATCAAGGCATACAAAGCTTCATCAAAAAAGCTATTTGATAATGATTTTGAGACGTAAATATTTCTTTTTTAACAGGAAGTGCCAAAACGTGCTAAATTTGCCAATTTTAGCCCCCTCCCGTTTATACAAAATGGTATCATCAAGAACATGCACCATGCTCACATAGTTCTAATCACAATCCAAGCTCACATAGTTCTAAAAGAACATTGAAATGATAGGAAAGCGTGGATTGATGAAGTAACTAACACTGCTCCCGCGCCCACAGCACATTTTGAACCAAGCTTCACTTTATTAGATAAAGACCTGCTTAGCGTTGCTATATTTATTTAGAAAATTGAGCAAATGGATTTTTTAAGTCGTTCGAATTCATTTTTTTTCTCCGTTGTAGGGCAAAGGAACAGTTACCACATATTTCTTGGTTGGCAAAGATGGCTTCGATTTGCCACTTCCCGACCTTAGACGTGCTGCAGCTCCTTCAGATCACGAGTTTAAGTAGTAGAGCAACCTACAGGATTAGCTTAACATGCTGCTTGGTTCATGGGGGAGTAGGGGTAGTTTCAGTTATAGTACCATTGATCAATTTAACAGTGTATGCATAGCTACAAACACAACGATGCGAGAAGTAAATTTCTAGTAGAGGCTGTGACTCTTGTAAGGACAAGGGTAATTTTCAGCATCTTCGAAATTTTTTAGCTAATTTCAATAATTTATTTGGAATCGACAGCGTATTCGTCAGAATATGAGATGTTTAGAACAGCCCCTTTTTAAATCATGTTATATTTTGCTATTCGACCACCTTCAACATCACTGCACAATAGCAACCCAACTTCTTATTATTGCATTACTGCATTTAGTGACATCATACAATAGTATTTTGAAACAGAAGCAGTATCTGCCTAAAAAGCCAGCAAAATATCTACCGTTTTTAAAAAACCAGTTAGCTAGAATCATAACTATTTCAATACATCGGAAATAGAAGAGTTTATGAAATTGTTTAGAAACTAATTTATTTAGAAAAAGATGTTGCTCTCATGTCGATCCCAATTTGGCATTGCCATATATTATGACGTGCAGCCTGCTTATACGTATTACATTCGCAATTTATTTAATCACTTCTTTTATAATCATTCTTGTGCTTTTATATTTATGGAACAATCTATACAGAGGTTATCGGCCCCATGGGCTTGTATTATTACGATTTTTTGGTTTTAGAGAAAAATCACTGTATTTGTAAATATTAGAAAGGTTGATATGGATACCGTTGATATGGATACCGTTGATATGGATACCGTTGATATGGATACCGTTGATATGGATACCGTTGATATGGATACCGTTGATATGGATACCGTGTGATTAGATAACGTCAACTTGATTCTTTGCATATGTCTATACATTTATGGGTTTCTTTGTATTTTTTCATGGCTTGTTTATTAAAGTGGATTTATGTGTTTTCTGTATCAGTTCGTGTATATGTTGCTTTATAAAGATATTTGTCAAAATGGGTTTTACTGTAAGTACTCGAGTTTATTGTAAATTTGTGCATTAACATTCAAGTGTAACAATGACAAGAGACTATTCGTTTGCTAATGCCTTAGTGTTATTTCATTAAATATTCAGTTAGGGAGTAGATGTAATCAAATTGCAGTCCAACCCTAGCTGAAAATTTGCTTTCAAAGACTCTACATCTCTTTTTGCTTTCATTTCTCTAATTTCTCTACAGTCAGAAAAAATTTGAAAATCCACGTTTTTCAGCTTCGTTGACAAGCAAGTGCAGATTAACAGCTATCAGATGCTGTCTAACAGTTGACAATAAGTATAGTTGAGAAAGTAATTGTAGTGTATAAAGGCTTTTTAAAACATCTAGCACTTGACACCGTCATCAGTTTATCAGTGGACGTGAGGTGCAGCAAGCCTCGTCATATTGTGTTACAAATTTTTAAATGGCCTTATTTATCCTTTTTGTCGGATAAGTACTCATTTTGTTAATGATTGTACCCCTTTGCGACATTTTAAAAAAGCGACGACCAATTGTTCATAAAGAGAGACAGCAGCTTTCTCCTAAGGACTGAGTCTTCAACTTGTTCCATTAATACTGTCCGATTTCAAAAGTCCCTTTCTACTTTTTAGAAAAAATTATACGAAAGGAATTTCGTTTTTTTTGTTCAGGGTAGTTATACCATTGGGGGATTTTGCTCCATCTTTATCAATAATTCATATTCCCTTTGCAGTTTTGCCTTTAACTAAGATATTTATGAAGTCTAATTTGTTCCAAACTGAAACAGCTGTCTACTAGATATTCTTAGGCCTTTTAGTTTGCTTTAATAAAAATTTCTCTCGGCATACCTTTCTTATCTAACCATGTGTACGAACATTCAGTTCTATGGTTCGTAGCACTAATCCTCTAATAAGGGTCCATAGAGCTCATCGAATTGCGACCGTTTTAAAAAGAGTGCACCTTCGAGTGGAGCACTCAATCAAAAAAGGAAAAGAGGAAGAGGTGTGTATATTTTTAATTATTTTCCCTAAACTTTTTTGAAACGTAAATTGATAGCTATATACTGGGGGTTAATGTAAATGTTAATTACTTCTTCACTATATGATGCAAGAAACAAAGAAAAAGAGAACAGAAAATTGAAATTGAAAGCAAGTGAGGGTTTTTGTAACAAACAAAGATTACACTATTACTCCAAAGAATTAGCCAAAATGTAGCTTTTTGTATATTTTGTTTGGCTGGTCGAATTTGGCCGTCAAGCGTAAAATATTTGGTCGCCGACCTCTAACCATTCCAAGCATCTGGCAACCCTGATAATAAGCATTCCCTCACCATCCTTTTAATAAACAAGAAGCGGTTTCAAAATTGAATGTAAGTGAGGGAGCGCTCATTAATCTTTGTATCTTTAGAACAACAAGTTCCACGTGTCCTTTATTTTCAAGAACAGGTTGCCTTATGACGTAGCATCACTAACCCTTGAAACCAGGCTCCTTATGTTCAAGATATTTGCGCTGAGTTGAAGTTTTTTTATTTTGGAGTGGAAAACTGCCTAAAGCGCGGATTGGAAGGAGTGTCTGGAGTTATCAACATGACGCGTAAGTAAAAGATTATTTGAATAATGCTTTTCTCATGTTGGTACAGATAGTTGAAATTTGTTCTCATTGATTTGTGTTATGAATACGAGATCTTGTCGGTGATATATTGATGGCCTACCTAGAAAGGTTCGGTCACCGATTGGCCTAAAGTTTTTACCTTGAGGCAAAACAGTATGGCTTCAGATATCTCTGGGCTTATGATGCAAGTAAACGTTTTTTCAAAGAAAGTTAGTGATACTAAAGATATTCATTTTTCTGTTACAGCCATTTTAAACTTTGAATGAAAGCTTTAAATAAAATTTAGCAGTTATAATTCCTGCTGTCCACATTCTTTAAGTCGTGTTTGTTATGTTGTTTTTTTAATCGTTTATTTAATGTAAATTTACATTGACCAATTTTTCATAAAGTGTGTATGCAGAAGCGAACTTAATAATGAATATACAGTAATATAAAGTAATATACTACAGCGATATTCTTTGATTTTGGTGATACTGTTCAAGCTGAATTATGGAAAATGCCCATTTTTAGTCACATTCTTTGGTCACATTCTTTGGTGATTTGTTTGTGTGATCTTACGAAGTTTAATGCAACAACAGTAAATTATATGATCCCAAATGGTTACAGAGTTTTAAAAGTTCAAAAAGCTAAGGAAGATCACATTTGAAATCAGTTTTGAATAAAACCTACCAGACCAATGGGCCAGCAGGTACCTGTTAGAGTAAGATCATTTCATTTGAATGTCAAGGGCTGAGAGGCTTTTTCACAAATTTGCTTGGCAATAAAACACAGCTTTAAATGAATGACAATAATTTTGAAAGATTAAAAAGAATAACAAATCTTTTAGTGAGATTGAGAAGTTATTTATTGAATATATGAAAGTTTTTCTTCCTTTCTCAGAAAGCCTAAAATTAAGACCAAGATACATTCACCTCCAGCATAGCTAATATCAAATGAGAATGACTCAATTTCTGAATATAATGGTCTGAAATATTAAAAACTGTACTTATAATTGTAAATGGCTTTGAAAAAAGCAAACATTTTACAACATACTAAAAGCTTTTTCGTCTGACACTCCTCAGAGCAAAAACGTCAGAATAAGGTTCCGAAAGAACACGATGGAAAATATATACCCAGTATCCATATATACCCATTTTCCAACCTTATTCTGACGTTTTTGCTCTGAGGAGTGTCAGACGAAAAAGCTTTTAGTATGTCGTAAAATGTTTGCTTTTTACAAAGCCATTTTCAAATTCTGTACCGCAAAAAAATTGTTCACTAATCAGGCAATTTTAAATTGAATTCATACCCAGTCTGAATGAATTCATACCCAATTTAAGGGCAAAAAGCACAGGGGTATGGAGGGCTCCACCAATTCATAGGAATGTCTCGTTAACACTGTAACAATCTTTATTAGAGAACAGAAGTCTTGGGTAGGCCATCGTTAAAAAACGAAAAAGTTGTTCATGTGTTAGACTTTTAACTGTTGAAATTACGGGGAAAACTTGAGAAAAACCCAGTGCACAGAACCAGTTTTAATTGTTTGCTTTCGTTTGCGTTTTTATTTCACTAAGTGACTGATATCCTGGACTATGTTATTAGACCTAGGAGGCTAATAGCGTGTGATTAAAATACAATTTATTCCCTGTTTTCTATGACAAATACATCTCATTCACAGATGAAAAACAAAGGAAATGGTGATTCGCATTATTAAAAACACGATCCTAACAAACAGAAATGTTAGCAAAGGCTATTGTTGACATTTTCAAAGGGAGATTTAAGGTTAAAGAATCTCAATAAAACACTATTAACATGTGAAGCCTATCCAAATCAGGATCTACAAAAACATACAATGACCGTTGCTGAAAGCCTATAATTTAAAAAAAAAACTGTTATTTGACCGATAACACCAGAAATGCTGTAAGCCGGCCCTGCTAAAGGAGTACAATAGATTGGGATTGGCCCAGTTTGTTTCAAAGGCCTAGGTTTCTTTGTTATAACAGGAAAATAGGTTTAAGAGTTCTCTTTAAAACCAGATGCCTTTTCCTGCCAATGTGACAATACCCTCAAGAGGAAGGGAATCCTTCTAAAATCAATTTTATTTGCTAACAGTGCCTTTTAAGATGTAATTTTGCTATGAATTAAGCAATTTCTTGGAAGAGGTTCAACATCCTACCCAGCCAGAAAAACTGCATACACAGACAAGTGTCACATATATGAAAATTTCAAACATGAAAAACTTACTAAATAGTTTAAAATAAACGCTATAAGACACAAATAAACTTGCATTCATTTCGCATTCCAGTACATTCCCAATAAAACTACCCTTGGTTCATGACGCTAATGTCTTTCCTCTTTACTTAAAAGCTGAAAACTTTTCGATGATTTTATTGGAGTTTAAAACCCCCTGGGCATCAAAATCTGCTGCCATTAAACATAAGACAACAACACGCTAATGTGACATTGTGGACCTTAGTTCACTATTTTTCTTTACCCTTTTCGGCATGGTGAAAGATTTTTCTCCGAAGGAACTTCCCTATGGCAAATTGTGCAGCAAGTGCAGTCATGGCATTTAGAATGCTCCGGCCAGCACCACTGAAAGTTTTAAAGGAAAAAAAAGGTGTGAGCTAAAAATTTTTGTGACCATGCCCTTTTCCCAATCTTAAGGACCATTGTGTGACCATTCATTACTTTACGAGGCCCCCTAGCTCAATTCAAACACACGATTGAAATCAAGAGCACTTTAAAGGCTTTTCAAAGTTTTGATCGGGGCCCTCTAAATCTATAGTTTTGCCTGGGCCCATGGGTAAATGCGTCACTGCTTTTGGCAGTTTTTCCTTACAATGTCTCAGGCTGCTGTGTATTCACATACAGTAGCTCAGAGGCAGCACGCAGGGGTATTTAAGGTATTCAGGAATACCAACTTTTTTCATACAAATGATTTTAATATGTTCCAAAATCAAAATCAAAATAAAATTTCATTTTTGTGTGTTACAATGCTATTACAAAGCAGGCGAAAAAGCTTTAAAAAATTCAGTGATTTCTTCACCCTATATTTTGTTTTGGCAGTGGGTATAGAGACTTTGTTTAATAATCCCTTTTGTTTTCCAATGAGGCCAGCAGCCAACAGTCACAAGGTAATCAAGGGCCCTGACCTCAGTCACAGGAGGTGACTATGAGGCTAATCAAAAAAATTTGAAAGCAAAGGTTTTCAGAACTTTTCAGAATACTTTGGGTGTACTCATCCCCTTGTAGCTTGTGTTTTTGGAACTGAATATTGCTTAGACATTTTTGCAAGTTTCAAAATATGTTCAACACAGTTAATCAGATCAAAAACAACCCACTCCTTTGAAAAGGAAGAAAAATTATCTGACTAAGGCTAAGAAAATAATTTTTTCAAGTTGAACAAGCAAATCTGAACAAGCAGGGTTGTAGACTTAGATTACAAAAAATCTGTTTTTCTGACTTTATTAGGCAATCAGAGCTTTTCTGTTCGCCCCATTCTGGCTATTTTTTTGCCCCATTCTATCAAACTCAGCCCGCAAACTTTCATTGCTTTTTGGCCACAATTTTCAGAATCCAATTTGCATACATTCAAGTTTTGTGCTGCTTCTTATAAAGACTTTGGTCTTGGATACAGGCCTCTGTTTTCTATTGCCTGATAACCATTCATAGATAGGTGTATATCCAGAGTGCAATGAAGCATTTGTTTTCAAGCGGAAGGTACATAATACCAACAAGATCTAGTTTTCTTGCCAGTCGATCCTGGACAACTAAGATATTTAGCAAATAAGTTCATTCAAGTAAAGTGTTGCAGTTTAAAGCATACCACAAGCGTGCTGTATATATAGTCTTAAAGCATACCACAAGTGTTTTGGGTTTCTTGCTATTTTTTGTTGAAATACGGACAAGAGAAAGCAATCTATCAAAACTATTTAGGCATCATTTTAGAAGCCAATTTTGAAAATCCTTTGTGAAGGGCTAGATGTGGCATTTAGAGTTTTACTTCTTGGGTGTGGTATTTAGTACCTTGAAGACATCTAATATTGCTCCAAGCTTCCCCTGCAATAGCTTCATCTTTAAGTATAATCGTTTGCCTGTAGGTCTATTTTTTAGTCTCATTTTGCTGATGATATACCTCTATTACAGTTTGTTGGGTTTGTTAAATAATCATTTAAATTTGGTTTGGAAATAACTGAAACCAACCTGTGATGATGAGTTGTAATATTCTGTTTTGAAAAGCATTACAATGACTTAGTAGTTTTCTTGCATTGTTCACCATTACCCATTTCTGTTTAGATGCCCTTTATGCCTCAGACAATTTTTAACATTTCTTTATACTAAAGTCAAATTTGTAATATGTTTAGGAGGAAACCAACGTGAGCTTGCAAGAGCTAAAAATCAAAAGAAGCTTCAACAAGTAGCAAAGGCTAAAGGTTCTGGAGGTGATGCAACTAAAAGAAAGGAGAGGTTGGTGTTTTGGCTGTGGTTATTACTGTGATGTAAAGCATTTACTTATTTTTGAGAAGTTTATTAATCTGTTGTGTTGAAAAAGATTTTTCTGTTTGTTTTTAATTATTTTGTTCAATTCAAGACGCAATTTTCATCCGGCAGCCTGTCAAATACCATACTTCATCCAAACTTTTTCATCCATGTTAAAAGATAGTAAGCTATGCCAATTATTTTTCAATACTGTCTAAATTTATTAAACTGCTAGTCAAAAATTTGTTAGTAATTATTTTCTGGTAAAAAGGTTCAAGTATGCTCAAATATGCCCTGAATTTTTCACGAAATTATGTGTATTTTCCTAAACGTATTGAAATGCCTATTTGGCATTTTTGTTTAAGAATTTTTTGATGGTCTACTGTCAGCCTAATTTTGCTTCTATTTTTTAAGAAGCTAACTTATAAACATCAACATGCTGTTACTTGGTTATAAGCAAGGTCAAAAAAGTAAATGTGAAAATGGCTTTTAAAAAAGCAAACATTTTACAACATACTAAAAGCTTTTTTGTCTGACACTCCTTAGAGTATAAAACCTCAGAATAAGGTTCTGAGAGAATAAGATGGAAAATATACACCAGTTGTGGATCTAAATAGGCCAATCAGACAAATAGGAGCACATGACCAATATGTTTGTCCAATCAGTGTCGCATGCCTGAAGAAAAACTACCAATTAATCCAAGAGAGAAAACAAACTCCTTCTGCCTACACAATGGCGGCTTTTTCGTTTGTATGTTAATTGATTCCAAAATTGCTAGATAAAAAGTCGACCTGGCTCTGGCAGTTGTCTGAAACACATTGTCATTATAGATTTGGGCAAAATCTGGGTATCTAACTTTGTTCTGCTTCTATTGTTCCTATTTCATGTGCTCCTATTTTCACTTGTTTTAACAGTGTTTCTAGACCTACAAGATCGAAGTGGCTGTTCTGTTTGAGGGTGGTTTTATTTTATATGTTGAAAGGAACTTGTTGTTTTATCCTATCCCCTAATCTTTGGGTTGTGCGTCCCACGTAGCCAGAAGCACACTGAAACGAATATTCATAAACAATGGAACACTTTTGGGTGGCAGGAGCACAATCATTTTGAATGGAAGGAGGGCCCTCCTAGTGCTGTAAACAATTCAAGTATTGACAACAAAGAAACATTTTGTAATGGCTTGAATGTTTAATCTTACTTTCAAATCGCAAGAAAGTGTTACCAACCATGGTAACACTTCCTTGCTTTTGTCCAGAAAGATCAATTTTCAATTTAAGTTTTTCCAGTTCAGTGTTAAGTTTAGATTTCAAGCAGGTCATGAGTGCCCTATGAAATAAAGTTTTCACAAGGTTGACTTTGCATTTTTTGGGGCAGAAAGAATAACTTGCTGGACAAGGGCTATCCAGAAGATGTCATTTCTTCTTATACTAGGGAAAAGATCATAAGTTTTTCGGTGGTCCAAAAGTTTGGTCCACAAAAGTGCCCAGTTTTTATCTTAAACTACACAATTGATCTAAACGAATTGAGTGTTTTACAAAACTGACACCACCAGATCTATCTTCTAGATGTTCATTATGTGTAGTTGCATCCTGTAAAGTATGCAGGATGATTCTGGAGTATTACTGTATTGTAGGATTCCTAAATTAATCACAATCTTCCAAGAGGAACAGAAAAACTACAATCCCGGACAAAAATGTTGAGACAAAATGCCATTTTTGTAATTTTCTACTTTACCTTGCCCCTGTAAATTCGAATCCCCCTTTTCCTCCAAAGCAATGTTTGATTTGTAGTTGTATCATTTTTGCTTCAAAATCGTGTGTATTCAACATTGAATTGGGGGAGGGGGAAAAGCTAATTTTAATAGGAAAGAGAAAACATAAAGTTTTCTTGAAAAGTCTCGACTATTTTTGTCGGGGATTGTAGGTCATTCAATGAAGGCTTCTTTCTTTGGCATAACCAAATTTCTTTACTAGTTTTTTATTGAAACTCAGCAAAAAATGTGAAATCATATTTCCTATCTATGTTCAGTTTTTCAGTAATTAGGTGAGGGTGGTATCAAACAAAGTGCTCAAGGTAACATCACATTTTAGTGATCTAAAGATTACATTTCATGATTTGATCCCTTCAACAACAAAGTTTTTGCAAAATATTAACAGAATATACAAAGAAATGCCTCAATTTGAAGCTCTGTTGTCCTTTATAAAGTCGACAAGTATATTGCAAAAGGCATATTGAAGCTTTTTTGCAAGCTGTTTTTATTCAATTTCATATCAGATTCTTTGGAAAATCATAACCCTTCAGACATAGGATCATGGCTGGGCTTATCAGAAAACCAACCCTGCAAATTTGTGAAAGATAAAGGTGATCTATACAAAGTACTAGTGTTAGCAATTGTAATTAGTGATGTAATAAAATAACTGCTGATGCTCCATATCTTATTTGCTCATCTCTTTGGGATTCACAAATTTGGGAACACTTTGAATATCTGTCCATGTTATGTTAATTGGTGGGATTGTTGTGCTATATTTTATTTAGTAATTTGCAATCTTTTCGAGTATTTGGATCGATTCAGGGCATGTTTGACTGTACTTGTTTAATGTAAAAAGTTTGTCAGCTTTGTTAGTCATGTGGTGGAGTTTGACAGTCAGGGTATTCATTTATTTGTAGCCTACTTGCAAATGTAAAATATTAATGTAAAATAGTCTTCTGTTAGCTTCATCCATTCAGAATTTAGATTCTGAAATAATTGGGAAAGACTGTTTGTGATTGATAGAATGAGGTAAAATCTCTTTGAGTTTAGGCAAGGTCAGATTTATCACCATTTTGACAAAGTTGTTGCATGTTAATTTACCAATCAGTTAAATGTAAGGCCCTTTGTACAAATTCAACATCTTTTTTCAGGGATGCTGATATTATGAGGCAGAAGCAACAGGCCGCTGCAGCGAAGAAAGAAACAAGTGGGGAAAAATGACATCTGCCTATCAATCAAGATTTTATACAATTGCTCATTGCAAAAGACTGACAAGTTATGCAGTGGATCTGAAACTGTTTATAGTAGTTTATGGTGGTTTATAAGAGAAACATTGTATTTTAAAGACTGACAAGAAACTAATTCAGAATCATATTTGGATTATATCATGATGTAGACTTATATACTTGATGTTTTCAGTGAAGCTCTTTATTGGAAAATGTTTCAAAAAAAGCAGAACACCTTTTTGCTTCATGTGCCAAGTGTTAGAGAAATTTTTTGAAGCAATGAAGTAATTTTTGAATGATATGAAAGATGCTCAATTTTTCCATTATCAACAATTTGATCTTTTCAATATTGAATTTTAATTTTGTTTTCGTTCATGCTTAATTATAATTATATACTTTGAAAAAGATGGCCCTGGGCTACAAGTGGTGGTAGGACTCAACAAGGTTTGTGTCACAACAATATACCCTCAATTGTGATGCAATGGCATTCTTTTTTCAGCTGGAGACAAGCTAACAATTAGAACTGTGCCTCAAGTTCTTTTTTAATAATCCTGAGTCTCGTAGAGGATATCTGCAATAAAAAAACAGTAGTATATTATTGGAATGTTGTTAGCTTTACTCCAGTTGTCAACTGAAAAGCTGATTCGTTCAATATCAGTCATCAATGCCATCTCAATGAGCATTCAAACCAGTTGTATCAGAATACGAAAAATTGACTTTTTCAATCGAACCTGGCCCGTCTTTTTGCGTCCGAAATTCCGAATTATTTTGCGTCCGAAATTTTCGCAAGACATTGTTGATGTTTTGAAACCTTTTATGTACGCCAAATAATTCAAAAGACATGAACCAAAAAATTTCTCTACGCCTTGAGACGTGAAAGTGGGACTTCTTAAAAATCAATAACTGAGTTACGAGAAGCGCTTGCAAGTTGTTTTCTACAAGGTAACAAGCTTTGCGTAAATTTTGTCAAGACACAGGCCATGATTATTGGATTGTCAGCAAAGGTGAGGAAAATTGATACACCAACGGTACCACTCTCTCGTTTTCAAGTAAATGGAAATAATATTGATTTTGTGAAGGAATCGAAGTGCCTTGGTCCCATGATTGATGATAATCTAAAAATGGGAGAGGAGAGCGCTGTTAAATGTATACAAAAGATCTCTAGAGCTTTAGGATTTTTAAATTACGCTAAAAAATATGTTTATCTTAGTATTGTTCAACCACATTTTACACTATTTTTTCAAAGAATGATTTTATAAGAACGCGAGCCTCAAAATTGGTCAAAAGTTAAAAACAAATTAAGAACAAGCTGAGGCTGAGCTACTTTAAAATGCAATTTTGAACAACTTTTTATCTCAAAACGAGGATTTTTAGCTATGTGTGGGTATTTTTTTAGTGAATATTCAAACTTGTCGGCAAATGAAGGTTGTCTCACTCACTTTGTTGGGAATTGAGGCCTGAACACCTCCCTAGAACGAAAAAGCTAGTAATCGCACTGCTTACACCCTATTAATTTAAGAACCAATTAAGAACAACCCAGCCTTAGATCTTCGAGAAAGAAAAAGAACAGTCAACCTGAACTTAAATCTATGGGTTGTTATAGAAAAATTAGTGAATACAACATGCACCTCAAGCAGCATACCCTTCCCTCTACAACGCGTATAAATGCTTGATGACACTTAGCTGCACCCAAGTTTCCTTTGAAAGAGTATTCAGCGCTATTGATTATTCAAGCAAAGAGTAAACTTGATTACGAGCAAGTCATTGACCAATTTGCTGATCCATCTGCACTTCTTCGAAAAGAGTTTAAACTCTGAGAGCTTAAATAAATTTTGATCTTGATTCTTAACTTTACATGGGATTTTAAACCCTGTTTACACGAGAGGAAAGGTATGGATCCAATTGGGTCCGAATTTACGAATTAAAATCGATATAATGCTGCTGTTTAGCGCATTGCTTTATTATAAATTTTTATTAAATTAATCGTACTTTAAGGCCACATTTTTAGTGGGTGTGACTCAATTTTTCCGCCACGCCCTAAACCGGGCCCTTTGAGTTTTCTAGCCACCCTGCAATTTTGACGCCAGACCGCCCCTGTCTTAGCTTAAATAAATTTTCTAATTATTGGGAGGGGAATTATTGCAAGTAGGACGGGGCCTATCTCATAGAACGTCTTGCTTAATTTATGATGATGTAATAGAGTGTTAGAGATACTTTTTGGAATAAGGGGGTTTTAACTTAAGTGACCTAGTAAAATTTTGTCACCATTCACATAATTCTTACTCTTTCAAAGATCTTCATGTAGCTAATTGGACTTGCTACAAGTCTCTCTCTCTCTATTTCTCTATTTGTTTATAAGTCTGAAGAAAAAGAAAGAAAAAAGGGAATGGAAAGGGAAGGAGAGAGATTTATAAAGCAACTCCAACAGGAGCGTCGTGGCGAATGAATTATGTCGAAAAAAATTTCCGACAAAATTTCTTTGATTTGTTTCAATCTAATAGAAGTATTTCATGTAAGTGTAAGGGGAGATAGAGCAGAAAAACTCATAAATTTTCCCTTAGCTGGAAAGATATTTAAAAGACACTTCCATCTTTTGTCTCTGTTTCTTTATACTTACAGAGAACGTCCCTGACATCCGTAAGTTAGGAAAAGGATAGAATGAAATTACTACCGGAGGCGGCACCATGGTTGCCGCGGAAAGGAGGAATTTTTTATAATCTAATGCTTCAAATTCGACGGAAATTGCATTTTTTGAAGGAAATCTTAATAAGAAAATATCATTCTAAATTGAATATCCACTGGGGGAAAGTGATGGTTTCAATTGACTTCTTCCTTGTTTTACCTTACGCAACATAAAAACATGAATTCTCAAATCTGGACACAATTTCAAAAGCTGGTGATAGGCACAAATTTGGCATTGTCCCGGTCTTCAATATCAATAAAAATATAATTTATGACCAATATTGACCAATTTCCATAACCAATTTTGGCCCTTTAAGATTTGGATTTTAACTGACAAGATGCAAGCAGCAAATTACTCTATGGTATGAATCGATAAATCCTTAGAAATCATTTTGAATTGTGGAAATCTAGTATTTCCTTTACCATAGCGAATTTCCCCTCGAAATTACGGTAAGTACTTTAGTCCAAGTAATCTATGTTGCTTAAAGTTTAAGAATTACCCACAGCTCAAGTTTGAGAATTTTCCGACAAAACAATAATTTTCCGAAAATCCTTGAAAGCAGAGGGGGTCACGGCCCCCTGCACCCCCGGCCACGACGCCCCTTAAGTCCAGTACTCAAATCAAGATTCGTGGTTTTAATGGTGCGAAATGATGTTTCTTTTCAGCAAGCTAATTATCTCTGCAGTTGCCATTTTTCAGCATTATATGCCCAAAATAATATGTAAAAACGGCTTGGTTATCCCCACACCGGAGTGCTTAGCACATTATTGCCTAGCGACAGTGCCTGTTGTGATGGAGAGGATCAAAGATTTTGTTTTGTGGTTGTTGCTGTGATCAGTTCGTCGCGTCCCCCACGCCAAGAATGGCCGTGTTTGTTTTGCCAAGGTGCTGATTTCAAAATATTTGAAATGCATTGGACAGCAATTTTGTATACAGGATAGGAAGCTTGGATTCTTGGTTTGTCTGCACGGAATACACTTGCTTGGACTGAAAGTTACCTTTGGTGTGTGGTGTGGGGCAACGCCGTTTGATAATTTCTACCTTTCGATAGGTAGTCCGCCATGGATGTCATGCAGAAGTTTAGAGAAAGACTGAGAAGGTCCTCGAGTAGCGATGTTCAAAGTATTTGTATATCCACCATTCCAGACAAAGTTGTCACAAAAGGAAACGAATTTGCTACCAGCCAAGGCGTTATCCGAAGATATTCGATTCCTGCCAAAACAAGGCTAGGTTCAGATGTAAAGCCTGAAGGGTAAGATCGTCTTGAATTAGAAAAGAGGTCAAGTAAAGTTATTTAAAGATCTCTAAAGCATAAAAAATATAGAGAGCATAAACAATATATTGAAAAAGTGATAGTATTTGTAGCTTGCCCCAAAATTACATCAGCTGTACATTAGGGGAAGAAATGAAGTTATTGCAGGAGCGGGATAAACAATAGCAACAGAAGGGTTGTTCGTTGTAAATAGGATTTCTATCATTTTTAGAGAGGCATGGTCCCAGAAAAAACAGTAGCCCTGATATGATATCACTATCCCTTTAAGAACTTGATTTGGAGCTTAGGTTGATTCAGTGTTTGTTGACAGCTGTTAACGCCTCTCCCTTTTAGAAATGACTGCTTTCAGAAAGAAGGCCTGGATGTTAAATGAAAAATACTAGGATATGGCCTTGTTTTACCTGAAACAAACTATTTTGTTTCTTTATTTATTTGAAGGTCATTGCTGTGGCCTATGCCCAATACTACCTAATGAAAGTATGATGAAATGGATCAAGATAAAGATATATTTTGAGTGCAAAGCTAAATAAATTCAACTTGAAAGCAGTCATGTATCAGTCAGACAGAATGACGTTACCCCTGGGTTTTAATGATAAGTGGTTGTCTACAGTTCTAAATGTGAACATTTTCTAGGCCACAATATCACCTACTAGCTTTTTCTTGATCTCTTTGCTCTTAAAAAAATCTGATGTTATAAGATATCTCATTTCCCCAGAAATACCTGCAGCCCACATCTTGAAGTCATTTTGATTCAAAGCATTAAATCTTTGTTTGTTTCTTAAAGTATTTATTATTCATGGTGAAAGAGTTTCTATCCAAAATGTTACTGTTTTGTGGTTCTTTTGTTAATAACATTCTGCTTTTGAATAATTGAAATATTTTAGAATCAAAAATCCGCTCTTGCAGCAAACATTTTATTTCCTCACACAAACCAGTTTCACTTATAATTTTTTTTCAAGACTATACAAATGAAAAGATGCATAAAAAAACAGAACGAATGGTCTTAAAGACATCAACCTATTGTTTTTATCAATCTTAGAATGGCACATATTTGTTATCTTGTAATTATGAAAGATAATATTTGAGCTTGTATTTTGAAAATCAATCTATTGTTTTTTTCAAAAATGCTACATGCTTGTTACTAGATCTGAAAGTTGTTTCTGTCATGATGAAGTTCTTCTCTAATTGATTTAATCTCTTTTACAACACTTTTTAGCTCATTAATGATATAAAAGCTTTTGATTCATCATAAACATCATCCTCATATAATTTTTTATCTTTTTGTGTTCTAGATCAATGTGTCAGAAAAGTTATTTTGAAGGTAGTAAAGCGGCAGTAAACAAAGAGGTATATCATTACTAGAATTCTAAGCCCAGGCCCCCAAAAAGCCAAATAGATCCTTGGGTATTCCAGGTGTGCCAGGTCCTCATTTTTTAGGTGTTAATATATTTCCAATGTGAACCTCTAATATATGGCTTACCAATGAGATTACCATATATGGCTTACCATAGGACTAGGAACAAATAAAAACACAGACTAATACATAAACATTTTCTTTCGACCTCCACCAAATTGTTTTTCTCAATATAAACTGATGTAGAGCCTCCCTGCTTACATTTTTATGGGATCCTAGATGCTTTAGATGCTTCTCTGGAAATGGCCTTTCTCCACCCCTCTTCTCACTGGGCCTAGCTAATTACTCAAGTCTTGTTGCAAACAGTGGCAGCAACATCCGCTAGGCTGGGAAGGGGAGTAAAAAATTAAGCCATACCCTTTTTCTGTCAAGAAACACCCTGTTACCAACGAGGTGTTTCTCATAACCGTAAGGATATCCATGATCTACTTTTGGTACATGAAGCCAGTTTTAGAAACACTCAAGTGCAAGGAACTACCCTTCCTCCTAATGTGATGCAAACTGATTTGTATTATGCAAACTTTGCTTTCTTATCTCAGAATGCTGTCATGTCACATTTGCCTAAATATTTTCAAACCATATGTCACAGACCTTGCCCAAAAGGTGCTTGATTGAATGAATGTAAGCACCTGAAGCACTATAGAGAGCGATTTAATGAGCACTTTAAAATGTAAAATGATATTGCCAGGAAGCAAGATATTGTCTTAAAATAATGATGAGCAAACCTAAAAAACTGTCTCAAATGACAGCAATATAATAATTTATTAGATTTGTACAGTTTATCCCATTAATCTTTTATGCTTGATTTTATACCTGGTTTTTCCAAGACTGCTTCTACAAAAATGCATTTTCAAATGAAAATGTTGCTTTCCATGCATCAAAATACAAACATATGAAAAATTTGAGAGTTGAATCTTTTGAAAACACAATAATATTTGAAAATGCATCGTTTCCCATACCAATTATTACTAATAAATGCTACACAATATCATACCCAAGGCCCAGGGGTGTGGTGCTTTGGGAACACAATCCCCTATCAATGCCAAATAGGATTTTTACTTGTGCTACTGTTTTTCGCAACATTTTGCATGCCCCCTCCCAACTTTTTGCAACATTTAAGCGCTTACAGTTTGTCAGGAGCTTGTTTAGTGGAGCACCTTCATTTTGCCTAGAACAAGGCCTGATGTCATCACCACAAAATCTTACATTTTCTTGGAATTGTAGATCTTATTAGGTATCTTACACTTTTGAGTAACCTGCTTTTTAAGGCATTAAGCCTGTGGTATAAATTTTTGTTTGTTTGCAATTCTCAGCTGTGCCGATTAATATACTGATAAAAATACAAAATAAGTAAATAAAAAAATTGCTGCTGTTGCTAGCTGCAAGTTTCTTGGCGTGAAGATGTAACTTCTCTGTCAATTCAGTAGGCATTTTCTTGTACAACAGTTCAGAAATTTGGAGACCAATTTCCATGCTTAAGATTATTTGTCATAAGCACATACCTAGGGCCCAATGACCAGTTAGTTATAATTTGTTTAGAGTTGTGGCTCTCCAGAAAGGCAAAACATCTTAGATGCCTACAAAATACTGCAGTATGAAAAGGCCGGCATTGAAGTCAAACTCCAAAATTCACAAGATAAGGTACAGTATGAGGGTTTGAAGCATTTATATTTGAGAAAATGAAATTGCTATTTAAATGTTGTAATGTTAATTCTTAGTTAAAGTTAGTTGCAAAATCTTGCTGCTCTTTTAGCTTTTTTCATTTGTTGCTTTTTATAATTTTTAATTGGTTTCCGTTTTACAAGATATTTCAATATGTTTTGTGTATATAATTGAATCATGTTAATTTGAACCTTAAAAAATGGGGGGTTGAGAAAATGAGCCAATTGAGTGATTGTCCAACTTATCATAGGTATAGTTTTGATTTGGAAAGGTAGGAAAATCCAATGGGAATTGAACATTAGTCCAACTTAGTGAAAAATGGATTTATCCGGGCTACCATGTAATAAAATACCACTGCACATTATTTTCAAATAGGTTTTAGATATGGTGTAATATTTTCAAACAATTTTTTGGTGGTTCAATATTTAAACTTTTGTTCATAATTCTCAATAATTTTCTTGTTTTATGGTCTGTGTCAGTCAAGGAGTTTATGTATGTTTTGAAATGTTTGCTTTTCCAATGCTATTTATAACGTTTTCCTTGCTTTTTGCAATTCTGACCAGGTTTTGTTGTTAACTATATTTTAGTTAAAAGAGAGAGATGCGACAATAAAAGAGCTCAATGGTATTATTCAGCAAATCAAAGAGGATCGTTTACAAGATGAAGAGGTGCGATATCAACGCTCAATACTTGCAAAAAGACAGGTAGGTTTCCAAACTTATGTTTTTTATTATTTTGAATTATTTTTAGAATTTATCTGATAATTTTGTGCTTCCTTGAGATATGGTGTGTTTCAAAGGATAAGAGACTGGTTTTATCAAATGGTTGTAGCCAAGCAATAAGTTAGTTTAAAATGACCACATTCTTTTGTCTCACATCTGAGGCTCCATTCAGGCATTTCTAAGCAATAATATCTTTGATGCCCTTGAGGTCCTTGCTGATAATATGTCCATTTTTCAGAATAGCAAAGCCTATATACTTAATGAATGGAGTGAACAAGTAAAACTTTGGTGCATTTCCAGCCTTTAAAAGCTGTTAAATATCTCTATGGGCCTACTAGAAGGAACTTTTTTAATTTATGGTCCCAAACTTTAGAACATGTTGTTAAAAGGCGGGAAGCCTTCATTTAGCTTTGATTGTTAAGATTTTACAAAAATTTGACAATTCTGGGAGGGTGGGTTACATAGGTGTCCTCCTTTGACATGAAATGATCCCACATATTACTTTAAAGTTAGTTTTCCGCAATTTTGGAGAATTTCTAACAAGGACTTCACAGTAAATAAGGGTAAATTTTAAAATTGGATAAAATGAAAAATTTAAACCAATTTTGTAAGATCATAATGACAAAAGCAAATGCACATAGGACAGGTATTGAAAAATCATACATTTTTGCTATATTGCTAAAATAATAATTCTTAGAATCTTTCTTTGATATCTGGTGTCTCCAATGTCATATAAATGAGCAGGACAATTATTTCACAGTTTTGAAACCTCCTTTCACAATTAACTTAGCAATTGATAGATTCTTAAAGTCCGCTTGCTAAATTTGCAGATCTTTGATGTATTATCTATATTATCTGTGATATATAATCTGTGATAAACTAAGAAGAAATAGGTATTTATGGCCTAAGATTGACATGACTGACAAATTCAGTTTGCAAGTGCAGTTATTGTGGGTGAAATATTATATTTGTATGTCTACTCAACTGATTTTGAAGAAAGCATTGAAATGAAGCAAATAGCCTTCACCTTAAACTGTATTTCATTGTTGACAGTTTCCTTCACTTTAAATCACTTTATTGGCACTACTTGCTCCGGATCAAAATGAGGAAAATCCAAGTCTAATAACAGATTTGTATCAACATTCCTTTTTAGGAATCTTATTATATCTTGTTGGGCTGCCCATAGAAATTTATATTATGCTGCCAAATACACCGAATTACAATTACCATCCTAGATTAAAATGGTTTCTAATCGAATCGTATACAAATTGGTGGCATACTTTCCTTTCAAGGCATAGTTTCATAAATTTAGCGGGTGAATGGAACTCAGTTGATCCATTTTGACATTATGGAAGAAAGAATTTTTATTTGATCAAATGCTGAAAAAAACTTTTGACCGTTTTTTCTAATGAATCTTTAAGAAACAGTATAATGTTTGTTGACCAGAACACCTTGAATAGACCGCAGGTTAATTCAGAAAATTGGCAATTTTAGATTCTATGCAGGGTTGAACAAAAGCGGCATCAAATTTTCTTGCATTTAAAACCTACATGTTTACTTCTAATTCCATTTTATAAGACTGTATTATTGCAAACACTAAAAAAATGTTTGCTTACAGCATGCAAATGAAATTGACGGTGAGTTGACAAATGAGCTTTAGGTGCCTTCCTCTTCAAACTTAAATAAATCGTCTTTCCAGTATTGTTGATCAATCTGTCAATATTTTTCTTCGTTTATTCTTTCTTTCCTTCAATCTTTCATTGCTCGTCCTTGTTTCTCTTAAATTACATCCGAATTTGGTGCCATCGATATTTTCTTGCTTCTTCTCTCGTTTAGTTTATCTTGTAATTCTCCAGTTAGCCATGCTTTTTAGGCCCATTTTCCAGTGAGGTTCTTTCTTTTTTTCCCTCTTTTATGTTTTCCAGGAAGCTGCTCTTTTTTTCCTTTTCGTGAACTCCTGATCAGTTCTTCTGTACATAAGCAAATTCTTAGAGCTAGATCAAACAAGTCCCCAGAAGAAGGAAAAATTGACTTACAGATACTGCATTTTAAAAAGGCCAGATCTAAAACAGCTTTTGATCGATGAAAGAATTTGTTTTATTTTTATTACCTATTTGTAGCAATTCCAATATGTAATTTTAAAGCTTGCACTTGCAGTATCAACAACTAATGCTGTTTTAATAACATTTTATTTCTTATCTGTTCTGTCATAGAAAAATTGAAGGGTATCAATAATTTTTATAGCGATGCAGTTGCATTTTGTCTTATTTTATCTATTTATTTTTTACTTTCTTGCCCCACAGAGTGTTTGCTTTCTTTGAACATAATTTATTGTGTAAAATTTCTCTTGCATTTGTCCCACATAGGGAAATATCCTTTTTTTGATTTTGAACATATGTTTTCGGTTCTTTTTGCCCACTTTGCGTATCACCAAGTCTTGTGTAGTATTGAAGCTATGGAAGGCATGGCTGTCTGCCTTATTTAGCTGTTAAAATCTTTTTTAACTCTCCAGGTTTTCTATATATGTATGCAATCTTTTTTAAACAGTATATCGACAGTTTGGAAGCTGAAATCGAGAAGATGAAGGTGAAAATTGAGCAAGATGTAAGTTTTATATTTCAGAAAGGTAAATTTTTAACCGATGAAAGTTTGGAAAAAGAAGAACAATTTAGTTCTCTCTTTCTAAGAATCGAATAGATCTGCTGAAAAATTTCATATTAGAAAGTTGAAAATACTGACATTTGTTGTTTATGGAACCTATCATAAGCGGCAGTATGTAATAGGATTAACAAAAAGAAAAGATGTGTGTGAAATTTGCAGCTGTATACATGGTACTCAAAATCAGATTTACTATGAACAAATAGTTCCGGGAGGCCATTAGGTGTCCGCCAAAAGATAAGCAGAGAGATTCAAGAAGGACAGGATGAATGTCTGGACATAATCACTATTATCTGATTAAAGTTGTCTATAGTTTCGGTTGGGAAAACAACCATACACAGGACAGAAGTATGAAGAAATTATGATTTTTTGTCTTCAAGAAATGAGTTTGAAATGCAGAATCCTTCGATTGCAAAGAACGAGAGAACAGTTAGAATTCGGGATGTTTGGAAAGTTCAATTGTCTTGAAATTTCTGATGCATCTTTTGATCTAAAGAACTAGAATCTGGTTGAAGGGTTTTTTTGGGGGGGCGGGGGGAGAATCAGCTGTCTATCCTTGGTTTACTTTATTGCGAATAAGAAGACAGAGTTTTTAGCGTTTTTGAACTCTCAAGTTTTTGCATGTCCAGGGCCTACGCATCTAACGATATAGAATTTTCATATAAGTTCTTGGAAATAAAGTTAGGTTTTCTGGTTGGTTTTATAACTAAATTCAAATCGAGAAAAGTTAGAATAGATGACGCTTCAAAACATTTATTTGTCCAATAATTCGTTTTTGATAGGATTCATTTTTCTAAAGTGTTTATGTTTTATTCTAACATCCATAATGTTCTTCTTTTGCAATTTTTTATTTTTTTAACAGACATACTGTTTTGCTATGTTGTAGAGGATCTTTGCTCTTAACAAATTTGGTTTATAAAAAGTGCTCATTTTGGCAGGGAGTTTTGTAAACAAAACTTATGTAAATTGAAGATTGTGCCCTGTGTTCGAGTGGTTATAGTCCATACTGATTATATGTGCCATGAAAGCCTCTAAATTTTAGAGCTTTGATAACTGTATATCATTGTCCACTAAACTGACTCAGCTGTGTTTAAAACCTTTCCTCTTATATCCTTTAGCCAAATTGATAGTATATTTCATCTTCAATCCGTTATGTTCCTTCACAGAACATCGAGGTTGAGAAACGGGTAAAAAAGGCAAAGAAGCAGGTTGCTAGGACAAAACAAGAATGTGCTTTAAAGATCTTTGAAATTCAGCAAGAAAATGCTTCACTCAAAGAGCATATCAAAACGCTTGAAGGTAAGGGGATCTTTGATTGATTGATTGATTGATTGATTGATTGATTGATTAATTGATTAATTGATCACTGCCGTGTAGTTTAGTGATTGGCAGGGATCAGTGATCCCTCGGCGTCTGGATCCGTCTCCTGTAGCTAGTGACAAGAAAGTAGAGACAGGGCTAGGCCTAGGTTTTGGAAGGTAACATGGCGCCTGTTCTATTTAAAATACCAGTGCCGAAAAATATACAATCTTGCCGACATAGAAATTATCATACTTCTCATTAATAGACAGTACGACGACAAGAAAAAAGACATCATGTATTCGTCAACTTTTTGCTACATCGTGAACAATTCCATTTAAGACAAATCCATTTTAGACATTAAGACAGTTCCAATTTAGGCATTACGACAAGTCCTTTAGATTCAGTCAAATAACGTTTCGACTCTGGTTAGAGTCATCTTCAGTATAATTACAGGCGATAAAAAAAAGTCGCGAGAAAACTAAACTTAAGAATATCGCTTTTTCTTTTTATTATGGATATGATGTCCACCAAATGCCGTTTAATGTTATTAAAGCTGAAATCGTTGCTCTTAATAAATTATGTCGTAAGAAGGATATTGTCATTACCCGACCTGATAAAGGTAATGGTATTTTAACTCTTAATCGCTCTGATTATATCAATAAGGCTCTTTCTATACTTAATGACTTTTCTAAGTTTTCACAATTAGATACTGATATTCTTGATCTTTGTCTGAAAAAGAAAATAAACTCATCCGTCTGCTTAAAAAGGAACTCGTTACTGACGAAGTATATCACCAACTCTTTCCTTCTGGTAGCACACCTGGAATCCTTCACGGACTACCTAAAGCTCATAAAACTGACTGTCCGGCGAGACCTATTCTCTTTGCCATTGGAACATACAACTATAACCTTGCCAAATTTCTTGTTCCTATTTATCAACCGCATACTTATAACCAGTACACTGCTCAAGATTCTTTCTCGTTTGTTAATGAAATTACATCTCTTCCTAACTGCTCATTATATATAGCTAGTTTTGATGTCTCTAGTTTGTTTACTAACATCCCTCTTGATGAATGCATCGAACTCTGTATTGAATGTATTTTCAATAACCTTGACTCCTTCCACTATTTAGATTGCAATTTTGATCGTGACAATTTTCGCAAACTTCTTTGTTCTGCTGTTAAAAACAACCATTTTATTTTTAATGGTAAACTCTTTGATCAAATTGATGGTGTCGATATGGCCTCACCCCTTGGCCCCGTCTTGCTCTTGAAACCCGTTTTTTAAATGAATGCCCCCCCAACTTAAACCTGTCTTTTATCGACGTTATGTTGATGATACTTTCTGCCTATTTGAGGACCCTGAACACGTTAGTCTTTTCCTTCAACGTGTCAAAAAATTTCACCCTAATATTAACTTCACTGTTGAAGTTGAAAATAACGATTCCTTACCATTTCTTGATATCTTGATATCCAAAACTCCTGATAAATTTTCTACTTGACTTTACCGCAAAGAAACATTTACGGGGCTTTTCACTGATTTTGCCAGTTTGTCTCCTATTAATTACAAACTTAATCTTGTTAACGTTCTGATCTGCCGCGCTTTTCATATTTGCTTTTCGTATGTAAATTTTTCATATCGACCTTTGTAAGATTAAAACCATCCTCAGTAATAACTGTTTTCCTAAATCCTTTGTTGATAAGTCAATCCGTGTCTTTCTTGGCAAACAGTTTAAACCTACTAATAAAACTCATAACCTTGACAGTAATAAACAGCTTCTCTTGTTCTTTTTACCCTTTCTAGGAAACTATAGCCTCCGTATTAAGAAAAACATTATTCAGCTCATGAAAAGATGCTACCCTGATGTTCAGCTGAAATTCGTGTTCAGATCCCCTAAACCAATCTCTAATTTATTTATCTTTAAAGATTGTCACACTCCCCTTTTGTGCTCGAACGTTATTTACAATTTTACGTTTAGTGGCTGCAGCGCCACTTGTTATGGTAAAACATCTCGAAATCTCATGATTCGATGTAGAGAGCACTTGGGAATCAACAAACAACGCCAGGGTGTTAAAACCCCTAGCCCTTGCTCCCTTCACGATCATATTTCCAGAACTGGACACGTAGCTTCTGTTGAAGGTTTTTCTATTCTCTCCAAAACAAACAACTCCTTTGATCTACTTATTCATGAAAGCCTCCTCATACACCGGGACAGACCTTCGCTTAACTCCCAACAGTCCTCTATTCCCATGATTTTGTTCTGACTTTCTTTCCCGCATTGTTTTCTTTGTTTGGCCTTTATTCCTTGTTTATCTCTCTAGGTTGTTTATTCCTTGTGTCTTCTCTCGCGTCCTGATTGCTCCTCCAGCGTACTTCTTTATCACATGATTTACGATCCCCTTTATTTAGCTCTTTCGTATTTAAGCTGATTTTTTTCTCGCCTTTAATTATACTGAAGATGACTAAAGCCAGAGTCGAAACGCTATTTAATTTAATTTAATAGACTTGTCGTAATGCCTAAATTGGAACTGTCTTAATGTCTTAATGGATTTGTCTTAATTGGAATTGTCCACGATGTAGCAAGAAGTTGACGAATACATGATGTCATTTTTTTTGTCGCCATACTGGTTATTAATTTCATTATTAGGCTGCGTTGTCCGGAATTCTCATGCTTCATATTTAATCATGTTTAGCTAAACATTTATTTGATTATTCCTTGCAGTTTTAAAAATGGTTAGGTGCATAAACTTCGTTTCATTAATCGCAAATTTTTTTGACGTGGCAACAGTTTTCATGCAAGTTGAATTCAGACTGAGCTTTGCGCATCAAGAGCGCATTTGTTGCGTGTTTTTGCACCTAGAAAATAATCTATAAACGCAAAACAGGATCAATGAGGTCTTTTGTTTGCTCTAATTAGCTTCAAGCTACTGTGTCAGCCAATGTTAGACTTTTATGATATTATTTCTCTTATTAGGATCATGCTAAGGTGAATCTCATAAATTTTTCACTTAGTTGCCTTGGTGGCCTTCGTATTGATAAACAACATCACACTTTTATCATATTTTTGATAAGCATCACCTGCATCAGATCTACGTGCGCTATTTTCTGCTGCAGAATTGAATAGGTAAAATCACCAGGGCTTCTTTTAAGTAAACATAATGAACTAAATCATTAGCACGCTACAGTGAAATTTTAGGTTCAACTTTCATTTTTGTAAATATAACAAATTTTTTTTCATTTAAGTTACAAAACCAAATATAAATTCAGTTTGAAAGGCCTTCAAAAGGTGCAAATTCAAAACCAGAATTGATTGTAACTAATGCAAAACCGAAACTAACTGTAACTAAACTGAATCGCATGAAATTTATCCGTCTTAGACCTTGGAAGGTTATTTGGCTTGTTCAAGAGTCAGTCGCTCTTGCAATAAGGGTTATAGTGTTACATTTATTGATCGGTCTTCACCGGGGAGGGGGGTGGAGGGTCAATATAACCTTTCCACCGATCTTATCCACAAATTTATAAAATATCTTTCTATACGTTTTAAAATGTTTTAGGTTCAATAAGCCAATTATAGAAACCCAGATTTAGTTGAATGCAAGGAGAAGATAGTTACATTTTCTTTTTTCAGCCTTTTTCTGTTGATTTATTTCATTCCTCATCCAACTTGAAAATAACTATCTTCTATATTTGCTGTTTCGTTTAACAAAACCGTCTAGACTTTTTACTTTTGGTATATATACTTTTTTAATTTAACCATGCAATGATCGGGGAATTTTTAGATGATTTTTATGATCATAAAAATTTACAATACACTACTACAAACTACAGTACAATAATGATACCAAATGGGGCACGAAATTTCATAACAACCTTGTGGCCATTCAAAATCTGTTCCAAAGATGATGCTAGGCGAGACATTGCTAGGTGTTTTCTTTGTTCGTGATTATAATGATCATTTTTCTGTATTTTTTCCAGTCAACATAGCAACATATGACAGAGTTCGCAATGACAAAGCCGACCCAGAATCAGAACCGAACAAAGCGCCTAGCCTCGTTAATAACTGTAAATCGAAGCACGACTTAGTTGTTGAACTATCAGAACAAATCTCTACATTAATTCAAGAAAATCTGATTCTCAATGAAGAACTTCAAGTTGCAAATGATAAACTATTGAAATACACCAGTTCTAGGAAAAGCGCGAAACCTCGGAGCTAGGTAACAAGTTTAAAATTGGTTCATACGTCTATTAATTTCCTATTACTGTTCAAATATTAATTGATTGTAGAATAAAAGATTATATCTTTAACATTCTTATGATAGATAAAGGAAATTCTTTGTATAGCATTTTATAGTAGTTTATGCATTTGACAGATAAAATGTTTTACAATTATAAAAATCATCAATAGTTTATTTCTAAAAATGACGATCAAAATTTCAAATGTTCTTTTTATTTTGCTCTTTGGCGTAGCAATCTGTTGTGACGACATTTCATGAGAAAATAGTTGATTTATTACCCGACCTAAATAGTCTTTCCTTTCGTTTTTTCGTATTTTAATAAGGGCAAGATTTATTTTGTACATCTAAAACGTTGTAACACAATTGTTCTTTGTAAGTCCAAGTGCAAATTTAAAAGTGAATTCCAAATACCCTTGTTTGTTTGAGAATGCATTTAGAATATTATACAGGGAGGCTATTAACTGTGAACGAGGTAAGTTGTCCAATCTGCATTTAGTTGTTTTTAGTTCTATTGTGACTAACACTGTCACAAATCTGGATCGGTTTTATGATTCAAAATCAGTTTAAATTTTCTGAATCAGTATATTTTCGGTAGTTTTCTTTAATTGAAACCCTAGAGCAGCGAGACACTGTTCATATGTGATAAAACCAATGTATTTCGTTATTATTAAAAGACATTGATACAGCCATTTGAATAGAACAATATTTTCCCATGTCCTTTTGACTTTAAAATCCAGCCTTGTTACACCGCAGATTGAATGCTCGTTATTGTATTGTGGTGTTTTCGAAATGGACAAAAATAACGCCCTTGCTAACGCCAAAGCCCCCCAGAATTAAAACTTTCGTTTTTTCATTAAATCTTGATGATCTTTGCTTCGTCTGTATTTTTTATTTTGTTTGTTTGTTTGATTTGTATTCTAACTCTCGAATTTATACTCTCGAATTCTGTTTAAAATCTGCGAATGTTCTTTGCTCTTATAAAATTCGAGGTCTAAATGTTCTACTTATCGATTTTGATTCAATTAGCGTTGTTTGGGACCAATACTTTTCGCATTGGCCTAATTTGGTTTCTGATGAACGAGAATGCCTGGTTTTAATTTTCTACGAGTCGCTTATGAACCTCCTTCTACGTCTGTAAATGGGGAATTCGACGTCATTAATCACGTAATGTCTACTGTTTATTGGAGATTCCCTGTCTACTCACCTTAACTATTTTTCTACTCTCTTGTTTTTGTCATTATCGCTTTCCATTTTCATTTCGTCTTCTGGCTTTTCGCTGATAATCGATTCAAAAATCTTCGTAAATTTGTCGCACTGTTTCACAATAGCATCGCAATGATTGCAGATTATTCCGATCCGCCCTCATTTCGTGTTTTCGAACCTACATTTCGGCTTTACTCAAAGAGACACTTTATCATTACTATTTCCAGGCTGTTAATTCATGCCGGCGTAATTTATCGGTAAAAAGAATTTCAAACTTTCTAAAGTTCATTTATTCTTATTTAAGCTCCAAAGTTGTTTTTTAACCTTTTTTCTCATTAACATTAATGCGTTATTTTCCTATCTTTGCATAAATCTTTCTTTTTTGAAATAGGACCTTCATAATTAAATAATATCAATGCCATTTGAAAAGTTTTTTGTCGTTCATTGAGCGTCATTTAAAATAGTCAAGCCGCAACTATACTTAATCTACTATGTCTGCCAAACCTCTGTGAAACGCCGATAGTGATACTTGGTCTTGAGCATATCATTTAGTTTTCTCTGCTACTATCATTGGTTCCCGAGAGTTTGGTTTTATTTTAGTCACAGATTTTTAATATGAACGTGGCTTCAATTTAGAACCAAGATGTTGTTGCATTTCAAGAAGAGGTATGGCTATTGAATCAAAACCATGGTTAAAGCTGAATTGTTGACAGAGATAAAGGTTTTTATTGGGGGGAGGGGGGCTGGGGTACTAAGGCTCACGATTTAAGACAAGAAAACACTGGTAACAGGATCAATCAACCTGCGCTAAATCAAATTATGTACATGTAATGTAAATTTACACAATAGGTTTCTTAACCAGGGAGAGTAACTGATAATTATACAATTATGTCTAGAAACAGACTTGCTTTTACAATACTGTTTTAAGCGTAACTGTAAAAATCATTTGCGAGACAAATTTAAGGTTGAAATTGTAATGGATGATATGGCTTTAAATATCGATCTATATGGCGTTTTGGAACATTGGGATCTACTTTGAATAATGTGGCTTTTAAGCCCTCGTTTCTCTTAGAACCTAAGAGACATATTTTAAGGGACAAGACAACTGATAAAGGTGAGAACTTCAAAATAACAGAATTTGAAATAGCATAATTCCATGGTACTTTCATTAGTAGCCTTTTAACGGTTAAATAATTGGAAAAGGGACTTTTCCTTTATTTGCAGGAAAGCATTAATTGTTTGTTTATTTGTTTATTTGTTGGTTTATTTTTTTCTTTATTTATAACTCTGTCATGCAAAAATGTCCAGTGACACATTATAATGATATTTGATAGGTTTAAGACTTAACTTGAACCTGTGACGGCAATGAATGCAACATAGCAAACGCTACCACAAGTTTGTAGCAATTTTACCTACGTGAGTGAACGCACGTACTTTCACACTTTCATTATTTGTTTTATTTTCGTCACAAGCAAATAATTTTAAAATTTCACAACCTATTTAACAATTTTAAGATCTTTGCTGCACCGAAAATCCAATCACAAGCAAAGCAAATCGATTGATATTTATCAGATTCTGGATGGAAAATCAGAAACTTGGAGTCTAAAATTGTGTCCAAAGTTGTTTGAAATAACTCAAGACCAGGCACCGCAGAGCAGGGGGGCTGGGGGCTTTTACCAACGTTGTAGAATATTGAGAAGTGAACTACCAGTAAAGCCTCTTTTTATTCGGTTCTAGACCCCGCACTTTTTTAGACCCTACCCCCCCCACACACTTCACTTTTCTAAGCCCTTACTTAAATAATCTCATTTTTAAAAAAGAGACATATTGAATACTCGTCAATGTTTTGTTTGTTTTTGTTTGATAGTGGAATATTGTGGTACGATCAAAGCAAACACCAGTGAATAGACTTCGAAACAGTCATTTTAAATGAATGGGCACTTAGCTGGATAATTTTTTGGTTGTACTGTGGCATGTGAAAAGGAAGTCCCATGATTGTATCAATCATCAAATTTGTATTGTAAAAGACCTTTTTAAACAAAGCATGAGACATGTTTTATTTAATGCTTTTAACGTGCATTAAGGCCCATTTTGTTAGGGAGAGAAACGAGCAGAAATTTTCTAATATGTGAGGCAACCTTCCGACCTGGAATCAAAGAGTATGCGTATTAATGACTAAGTTCAATGCGCATGCTCGAGGACGAGGGTTGCCTCATTCATTCAAAGACTTATCTTGTTCGTCTCCCAAACAAGACTGTTCAAAAGACAAAAAGAAAATTTTCCTTTTACAGGATGGTTATTAATGCCTACCAAAAGATATTATAATGGGTACGGGGAAGATATTTAATCAGTGTGATAAAATTGAAACGTTATTGCAACAGTTAATCGGCATTACATTGGCAAAACGAGCCAAAAATACTGTATTATGATATTCGCTATTTGAAACTCCTTTAATCATTGTCTAATTGCAGTTTGATAAACTCATAAATGTACATAAAACAAAACTAACGGACCACCTTGCGTTTTACGTCAGCATGAGTCCACCAATACTTTATAGTTGCCCCCCTTTATTAGCTTTTTTACCTCAATCGAATTATTCCTTGGAAATATTTGTCTAAAATGTTTAAAACATTGCCGCTTCCAGCTTGCAATTTTCAATTGCTTGGTAATTTACTTATAAAATGACCGTTGCTCTATTTTCTATAACTACCCTTCTTACTTAATAATTAACATCATAGAAGTTAAATCAATGGGAATGCTCAAAACTTTCAATGCAACTCCTAGCACCTGTCTGTATAAACCCAACAGGTTTTTTCATAAAAATGAAACGTATCTTTTCAGAAAATTTATCTAGGAACATCAGGATCCAGTAAGTTTAGACGTTACCGAATTCTTTGAACAACTCCATTTTTCATTAACATAAAGTTTCCAAGCAACTAATTCTCAGAAGAATTTTCAAAGGAGGTTTCCAAAGGTAACTTAAATACTGGATACGTCAGTATCAATCAACTAGAACAACATTATAAGTCATTTTTCATGCAAATGTTTTATCCAAAAGGAAGCATTTAATAACGTCTTTAACAAAGCAAAACAACAACATTGCCAGATGCAAAGGACAGATCATATGGACAGACAGATCTGCCCATGGCGTCGCCAAAGACGGTATGGGCAAGCTGTACCCCCCAATACTTTGTCCGTCGGCACAAAAGGATTTTTGTCGGGCAAAAAAGGAAATTTATCTTTTGTAAGAATTGTGACGTATCAAAATTTCTGTAGCAGCTGATCTTTGAAAGTATAGGACTAAACATAATTGAAATTGAATTTTTCGAATACTAAATATTGAAATAGAAACGCATTAAAATAGCATATAAAATTATTTATCTTATGACTACACCCTAAAGATTGAGACACGCCCTTTCTATCGGCAAAAATCACTACCATGCTCCTCCGAAAATTTTTCTTTGACTTCGCCCTAGGATCTACCTTTTCATTTACTATCCATTAACTTTTTGCATAATTAATCAAAGAAATTTTTGGTTGATATAAACATACTATATAAAGATTATAAATTCGGTATAAAGATCGATCAGGTGATTCTCTATCAAACGTCAGTACCCTCAGACTTTTGCTGACAGTAGTAGTGTATTTTTCAGGGGCCTGAGAAGTGTATAGCAACAAAGTTTGAACTGAGAGGGGGGGGGGGTTGATGGGGCACAATTACTTTCTTGCATAGCCCCGCAAAGTGAATCATAGAGGATCCTGGATTATCAACCCTATATCAAAATAAAAAGTTCATAGCTGATGCAAAGGGAGTTTCTTGCTGCACAGTTTGATAAATAAAAATCATCGATTTAGGGCACGTACAAGTTTGCAAAATTTCCTGATATCAAATTGCATGAGAGGCAAAATATGTGGTGTCTTGATCATGTGAAGCATAAAAATTCTGTCTTTGCAATCAATCAGAAAATTCCAACCCCTCTTCAAGACAGAAATGAAAGGACCAATGCTGATGAAAGGGGATGAAGAATTGTCAAATATTCTATCCATCATTTCACCGTCCTTGCTTTTACATTAAAAAAATTTCATGGGCGTTTCTATCCTAATCCCCACCCCCAACTTCTCTCTTGACGCTCTTAATGCAGTCTCGTGATTTTGATTTTCAAGCACTTTCAGTCTTGCAGTTGGCATAGCTGTACTAAAAACTCCACTCAAGCCTTTTTAAAATCTCACAGGTTAATTTGGCTACGTGTATTTTCTGATGATGTCACATACATAATGTTTACGTAAGTCAGAAACGCCTGTGAAGATAATGAAGCTATGGCACATTTCAAATACATATCATTTAAGAATTTTCATTTTTATCTCACATCTCGCACCATGTGAAATGCTTAATTGCTACAAATGTTTGATCTGTTCTCCATAGGCCATGTCTACACGCCAAGGCCACGAAAGCTTAAACCGTAGGGACTCGTCTAGCAGTAGTAATGATAGAAGGAAATAATGGCTACAATGCTGTACGATCATAATAACGAAATACCACTAATTTCAGGTGACATGCTCATTAGAAAGTTCCTTTTTTCATTTATTTTCGCTTCATTTTCGCTTCTTGCATACCTTACATATTGTCAGTTGGTGTACATTGCGTGATACATTTGCTTTCATTTTTTATCAAAATCCACGTTACCCTCAGACTCCCGTTTCTTACGATTGTACTTGTTTTTTATAGAACAGTTTGAAATGTTGACCAACACTGGTTTCAAACTGGTTTAGAAAATATAAATGCCCTTGTTTTACCTGAAACCAAATGCAATCATGTATCTATTTGTGTTTATATTTGCATTCGTAGTATTGTAACCATAGCATAAAATAGCGGTTCATTCAATTGGTCCGTTTTTGTTTCAACGTTTGTCCGACGATAAGCCATCTGAAAAAATGTGGACATAGAATCGTATTTCTGTAATCATTTATTTAGTGGAAGTGTGTCTAAAAATATCATTGTCACAGACGTAGGTTGACGCGTATCTTGCTGTGGTAGAGCTTTAGCTTCAGATTTAAGTTACGCGCAACAGCATAATCCTATAAGAAAAATCAATTACAAGCCTTTTTTTACTGTTTGTCTAAATTCTCCAATGCCAGACTGTCATTTGAAATGCTTTGAAATCTTCTCCAATTGAGGAGAGTTGCTTTTTTGCTAAAATAGAAGAAATGGGACCAGGGTGGGCCCTGGGAGGACTTTAGTGGGGCTAATCCCCTCTTAACAAACAAGTACATGTTTGGTTGCTTGAATTTGAATTCCTTACTTTAAAATGTGAACCAACCCTTTATCATACTATTGATTTTTCCATGAAGAAGCCATTTCCATCAGCCTTTAAGATTCGGTGAGTAGTTTGAATGATTTCATAAACACAAAAGAGAATCTTTAACAAAAGTGAATTGGGTGGTCTTGGGTAGTCTAGAAGATGGCTTCTTCAAAATGCCTCTAACACAGTCCCCCAGGCCCACGCCAAGAATTTCAAAATGGAGAGGCCAAGTTCTATAACTTGAACTTGAATTCACTGCTTCAAAACAGGGCCTCTTTGGAAATATTTATTGCTTGCAAAAAAGTGGGGGGCCACGGCCCCTCCAGTCCCTCCCCCGGTGGCGTAGGCCCTGTCCCCTTTCTAACGTTTTAGAAAGGCAGCCCTGAATGGGACTAATAAACAATATAATTTATACAGAAATACGTAGGAAAATCTTGAAGCTCTCCTCTACTAAAGCTACAAATAAACTACAATTTTTAAAATGTTTTGGAAGAAAAAAATTGCAAGGACAGGGGATCAAGGCTAGTTGAGTACCCCAATTTCCAGACCGCGCCCTTTTTAAGCACATCAAAAATGAGGAAGGTTTTAAAGTAAGATATGCTTGGCCAGAGAAAAATTGACAATTTTCCTGGGCTCTGGTATCGTGGTTTCCAATAACTATATGATGCTGGACGTTGGTGCCTTTTTAAAAAGAGCACGCAATCAGATAAACTTCCTTAGCCGTTCTATCTTCCATTCTATATTCAAAATGAGAAGACCCTTTCAAACTTTTCCAGATAACAAACTTCCATCATATGGACGGTGGTGTAGATAGGAAAATTCATAGGAGAGACGAGTAGTTTAAATTTTCTGACAAAAATCTAATAAGCATTTTATTTTTTCGTATATTGGAGCAAAACGTGACGATAAGATAAACATTTTTTCAAGATCTGGTTTCATAAATTATATTACTTGAAGATCTTCCTGGTTCTCTCCTCTAAGAAAATATTTTCAAGTACATTAATTGAAGGAGATTGCCAATCTGAGCAGTGAGAGAAATGCTTATACTAACCTTTGAAACCTTTTTACTCACAATGTAAGTAAGATAAAAAAGTCAGCCACGTTATATTTCCGACAAGATCAGAAATTTTCCCATAAAATAACAGTTTAGCTGTACAGGGTTTTTTGCCCCTTCTGACCCTCCTCTACCTACGCCACTGCAAGTAACTGGCACACGCTAGTAGTATTTCTAATATATCAAATATCATACATATTATAAAGGTCTTCCAGTTTAACATGTTCACGTCATTTCATCTGTCCCTTGACGTCATTTCATCTGTCTGAGATAAACTCATTGAACTTTATTTCCATGGACGAAAAAAACTAGTGAACAATGCTTCACTTTCAGTTCTTTTTAGAAAATGTACGAAAATGCCCATCGCAAAAAACTGTTTTCTTTCTTAGAATTTCCCATTAGGTATTTAATAGCTCGTTTTTTGAACAGCTGTGCCTGTGCCCTCCTAGTGTTTCCTACTTTTCTGTTTGCTTTGTTCATTTGTTTTATCCCTGTATTGGTTTCCCTAGTCTGATGCTTTCGTTTTCCATTAAGTGTTTAGTTTCATAATAATAATAATAATACATTTAAACTTGTATAGCGCGAAACCAAATAAAAAGCTTATTTATCTTTGGCGCTTTACAATATCTAATGACCAGTGTCCCGTGTATCTAAAAGTATAAGGAAGTTTGAAATAATGTACTTTAAGGCGTTTTTTAAAAAGATAAACAGTTTCCGAAGTCCTAACTTCTGATGGAAGAAAGTTCCAAAGTTTAGGCGCACACACTGAGAAAGATCTGTCGCCACAAGTCTTCAGGTGAGATCGTCGTTCACGGAATGCGTCATAATCTGTTGCACATTTACTGAAATCAGCCTTTGTACAATACCTTTCGATTTTTTCGTCCTCACCTATCAGCTGTAAGTAGACTATGTTGCAAAATATAAGACCAACACTCTCTGTACAAAACCCTTTGTTAAAGGAGGGGCATTGCATTGGATGACACCCTTGTTATGTTTCTTATACATAAAGCCGTCGTAATGAACTTTTTACCGAGAGAGCGGGTGCATAATAAACGATAGGTTGGTTTTTGCCGACGCTTGTAAAAGCGAAACAGAAAGCGCAAAAGCGAAATGTTGGGCTCAAGATTCATTTATTAAGACACAATTAATTTCCAATCCATAGAAGCTCTGGTACACTGAGTAATTTACTCTTTCAAGAATCTGATATCAAAAGAATATAATACTTTTTAGGAGTTTCATAACCGGAGATCACTAGGGGGATGTCACCCCAAAATTTCAGAAAATTCCCCTTTCTTGGATGGGCCGACCCTCTCTATACCTTTTTCTTTGGGAAAAGTGTCCATGAGTACCCCTCTTCCTATCGAGGCTCCAAGCCTTGAAATGCTTCCAACACCAATGTTGAGCAGTGGAAGTTTTTTCCCAAAGCTGCTCAATAATCAAGTAATGGTCGGGCAGTATTTCCTTGAAGGAGAGTGGGGGTTTAGGAATTGTTGTGGTTAGCCAAAAGGCGATATAATCTGTATGTGTCGATTCCACTTGATTCAATTTCATTGTTATATAAAGTACTCGATTACACAGAAAGGAGATCTCGACTAGGGAATCCCCAAAAATGCAAGGTTCGTGTGTAAACATTGAAAATTTCATCTGGATGCACAATATTCAAGTTCTTTGTAGCAGCATATTATGGGTTAGGATTTCAATTCTTCAATCCATCTTATCATAGCCAAACTTTTTTAAAGGCAAACTAGCATAGACTAACTAAGCACACCATACATGGAAAGCTTCTTAAACCCTGCCTTATATGTAAACACCTAACTGTTCTATGCCACGCCGATCCAACGCGATTATGATCAGAGTTTATTGATAACTTAAACGCTCAATATGGCTTGGTGGTGCAGTTTGAATCCAAGATTCATGATATTTCAAGTGTCAGATTCTTCTGGAAGCACAAGCGAAAAGAGAGGATATTCAACATTTTCTGACACACTCTTCTTTCACAAAAAGATGCACTATGAACGAACGCTGAGGCTCGATTTGACAAAAATAGAAACAACGTAAGGACATGTCAAGTCTCAGACGAAAAGTTAGACGAAAAGTTAGACGCAAAGAACTAACGATTTTGAAGTCAATCCTCACAAGAACTAAACAGAACAGATCTTATCAGTTATTCAACTGAGTCACTAAAAATGTTAGGAAAAACTGCCATTTGATGGTCTTAAAAACAGTTCATAGTGAAGATATAATTTAAAATAAGAACAAAATCAGTAACAGTTTAGTCTCAAATTATCCATAAATCATGAACATCAAGCCTTGATCAGCTCGATCTAAATTATCTGTATCTTATTAAAGATAAGATTCAAGACTAGAATTGTTTAGACTAGAATGTGATTCAAGTTCACATTGCAGACGGTGAGAAGGCTCCCTCTTTCTAAATCTATGGCCTGCCTTTATTTAACCCAAGGGTTACATAAATTGTTTGAGTATTCTCTATATCTACGTCACTTACAGGAACAAGGTCAACTGAGGAAACCATAGATACCTTTATGGGTATAACCCATTATTGGTTTCTGTCATTGGCTCAGGGGAATGTCCCTAAGACGGACCAGCATGCAATGTACTAGAAAATTACTCTGTAATGGCTATTGACAGAAAATAAGACAGTTAATTATTTGTTCATGGTGACGAAAAAATGCCGCAACAACAAGTTTAAACTTAGTTTATAAAACATTCTTTCTCGACATTTAGCTTAGGTTGGTGCATTCATATAAAATGATATAAAATTATATGAAATAATGAATGAAGAAAATCTAAAGCCGTGTATTTTAAGCGATATGTTGGGGGTAAAATTGAAGGTTTTCTAGTGGAACCTTAGTACCAATTATGGGATTTTTATAAATTAGCTTTTATATCTGGCGAGGAAGTATCCAGGGGAATCCCTAGCAAAAACCAATGCGGAGGAGTATTCGTATGAAAAACGTATGTGAATGGTCAGAAGGCAGACAACATTCGAAGGTTTTGATCAGGAAGAGGTGTTAGGGGAAGAAATGGAGAACAGTTTAGTCCCAAATGAAACTTATAGCTTATCGACGAAAGAAGAAACAAATCAGAGCAAAGAATTATTTTTTGTTAAGTTAACTGACTCATCACTTCGTGCCGTCGAAGAGTACTTGGAGAATAAGGTACTTTGTATGACTTTTAACAATTATTATAGTCCCGTACCACCAAATTAGGCCATGCTTTAAAATTGGCCTACTTACCCAGTTAAAGGAATATCAAACTTGTTCATTATTGTTGAAGAATTCCACTAGGTTAAAGACCCTTCTGTTTATTTTATAGCTTCTTGTTAACTTTTCTGTTGCTAACTTCCTTAAATAATGCCGAGATGGATCGTAAAGGTCACTCGTTTATGTTTCTCTTTGTTTACCATGCTTTGGGGGTGAAAGCCTGAATTTGCCATTGGAACTTTGCCTTGCAGAGCCCGAGGGTTTCACATAATAGAAATAAAGGTTTTAGATATCTGTCTGGGTTCTGACGGCCTTAAGACTAGCCCATGACAATGCCCGAAAGCTAAACTGGATTTTTATATTCATGAATCATATTATAACCAAGATCTAATTTTATCTTTTGCTAATTTCTCCTTTATTTTGACTATGTATCCGTTAACATATTACCTACACAATTAAATGTAAGGGCGTCTTTTTGTTACTTCTCCCTCTTTTCTTTTCTTCGCAGGCAGCCATAAAAGGGCATCCAAAAATCCAATTCTTCGGGCCGAACGGAGTAAGTGTTATGATTTTGTGTTCATAAGACCGTCATAAGTTTTGCATACCCACTGAACATGTTAGCTCGACTATTGTCTTAATTTCCTGTAAATTTTATTAATCGTGGTTCCAAGAAAGAATAATCATATCAGTTTATCTTTTTCTTCAACTTGCTCTGTAGGGTTAGGATTTTCTTGTTTTCTGTGTTTAGGTTACCGGCGTCAAACTTAGGCTAGCCGTCACCAACATACCTCGATTTCTTCCTGTCGAATTTGATAAGCATAAACCATTTAATTAAATATGGTTTTAAAACTGTGTTTCGGAGTCGATTTCATTAAAATTAGCGATTATAATTGCAGGTAGAAGTCCACGTTGTGTTTCATGAGGGTTAATATCCTCATTGGTGAATATAAAGACCATATCAAGTCCATGCTATTCTTCAATTTCTATGCCAATATGTTTTTGAAATTCTGGAACCAATGTTATAGCACTATATCTCTGAGCAAATTACGGAAATAGCTAATTTATTTGAAGGGCTATAGAAATTGTTATTCAGTTTGTCAAATTATCACAGAAAAATAAAGACTAAAAGCATTTATCTTCTTTAAATGCTTTTTAAAATATTATTTAGATATTCCTAGAATATTCTATCATCAACATTTATTTTCACTGTGATGAGAAAACCTGTGCTGTGGAGAATTCATATATTATTTGTGTTTTCCTGGGGCAGTAAAGACTGATCTATGCTAATCTTACCACAGATGAAAAGTTGAATATTGTATGAATGTTTGAAAGTGTTTGGTTCCAATGTTAAAATGATCATAACCTACATATCTGATTAAGGAAAATTCTTCATGATCTCATTAGTTCTTCAAGTGAAAACCATATGTTGAAAAATGATAAGCAAAAAGGTCAAAATCCTGCTTTAAAATTTGAATAACTTTTACTTGGCTGTTGTATGAGATTGTATAATTGCTTCTGTTGGTGAGGTATACTATTGTTGCCAAAGATCAACAGGCGTTAGTATTTATAGCACAAAAAGAAGGTGAAATAGAGTTTTAAAATTTTCCAGTATGTAAACTGGTATTGACCAGTATATTTTGCTGTAAGTACAAGTTTGAAAAATGATTTGATAAATTTTTAGTTTAGTAAGCAGATTTTCTAGATGTTAAAACATTCAAGTATGATAAAATATTGCTGTCACAATTTGCCATTTAAAATTTTCTGGTTAAAATGTTTTAATGCCATTTCACTACTTTTTTTAGCTTCTTCACCTTCCAAGTCGTCCTGGATCTGCAAGTCAAGATGTTGGTAAAAATTTCAAATTTTCCTGCTCATTTTTTGCAAGGGATGGGAGGCAGGGAATCACAGAATGTTTGCATCAGCCAAGCAAACATAAAAAAATGTTGGGCTCAATGGGTATGATTGAGAAAAAAATTGCAGTTATGGGAACAGATGAGGCTTATGAAATGACTAGAAACAAAATGGCACAAGCTGATCAAGAACGAAAAGGAGTCAGGTATTCATTTCAAATTTTATTGAAACTTTTGTGTCATCTCTTAAATTCTTATTTGTACATTATTTGGTACACTGTAATTTTTTATTTGAGGTTCTTGCTTATGATCAAGGCACTAAAAATTCATTTGCTAGGACTCCAAGTAATTTGTCACATAGATGTTGGCTATGTTTTGCAAACACTGTTCACTTAGTCCTTCCAAGAGACTTCATTAAAACTTTGATATATTGTGGTGTTTTCTAGTCTGGTGTTGGGCAAATTTTTACGGGTCTTGTCCCTAAAAGGGCATGGGATACTAATTAACGTTATATTGTTAAAACAGGTTCTGGAATAAATAAACAGGAGAGTTTTTCAAAAAATGTTTTTCAGTTGGAAATAGCATTTTAGAGACAAGTTTTAAAGATAAAATATTTTTAAAGTCATTTAGCAAATTTCATGGAATCTTCTGTGTAGTTTACAATTTTTAATATTCCTTCACTCAATTTTTTGAAAGTTTTGAAAGTGAAAAAGATAGTAAATGTCAATTGATAAGCTCTAGGTAGACTTTGTATTGACCTGTTGAAATTTTTTTCACCATTACTAAATCTGTTTTAAATTGCTGTTTTGACTGCTTTTGAGTGGGATGGAATATGTTGATTTGTGTTAAAAGAGCACTGTAAAAATCTTTTTTGTGGTTTGAAAAGGCCAGGAGTTCTACAGATTGTAAATGATTGATGAGATAAATATGCTATAAATTTCTATGTTGACAGATTGCTAACTAAAGTTATATGAAACTCCTGTAAGTGCTATAAATCTCAACCAGCCAACAAATATCGATTGCTGTGCAAAATAATGCCCTTTGTTTCAATTCATAAACTATAAAGCTTTTGCTGTGACATAATTAGTTGTGGTCTCTGAAAATTGTCTAGCATGCAGATAGGGAAAATCACAATTTGCATATTCCCACAGCTATATGTCTTTTTTTGAGTTAAGCATCTACGGATGTCAGTAGCATTTCAAAGTCTGAAGGGCACAGATAGCAAAGTGCACCATGTCGCAAAAAAGAGGTACTTACCCAAAGAGGCTATTTCTTAGAAAAGGGAATTTCTTCAAAAATTAAGGGGGGCAACTTGGGCATCCCTGGTTTGACATCCATGTTAGAAGATAATGCCATAAACTTTGTGCTTGTCGCTTGTCCTATGCATATTTCATGTTGGTTAAAATTGGAATGTTATCTAAAGGTAACTTGATACTTAAATTGGGGATTTGTGACAATATACCATCTTATGTTATTGTCTCTGTGTAGTATGAACATTTATGGCTTTAGAATACTACTATAATGTGGGTAGAACTTTGTAACTATAATGTGGGTAGAACTTTGTAACTATAATGTGGGTAGAACTTTGTAATTAGAAAGAGAGCCCACAGTGTATAAAAATGAAGAATTGATTGTATAGAAATGTAGGTAGGGCGCTATCCTTAAGAGGTGGGAGGTGGCTGTGCTGTAGGCAAGTTCTAAAAGCCACATTCATGACCGCACCCATGACCACACCTAATATACTTACATTTGTGTTGAAGATTGTTTTGTATATGAAATCATTCATGCCTTTCGCCAACTCAAAGAGATTGATAGGAAATTGCTTCACCAAAAATCTATAGCATAATAAAGGGTTGCAAAAATTGTTGCGTTCAGCCAAACAAGTTCTTGTTTGTTGAAGGGGGGGGGGAGAGTGGGAGCTGAGCCTCCTCTTGATGACATCTCTGATTTGAGGTTATCTGCTGATTTAAATCCAACCAAACACGTGCTTCAAACTGCAGCATTACTACCTAATGGGAGGACCCTCTGGGCTGTTTCTTGGTTTGTCACCAATGGTTTTGCGGGATTGATGACCATAGAGTAGTTACATATGTGGCGTTGTGGTGTCTGGTTGCTTTTACGACGAATGCCAGAAATGTGATTCACTTTTGGTGGTAGAAAGTTGGAAAGAGTTTCGGGAGAGCAAAACTCACCAGCAAAACAATTATCAAAGCGGAGCATTTCTCACAAACCCTTGAGAAAAAGATAGATACCCAACTGTTGGCGGCCTTATCGAAGAAACAGTTGATGAGAGCTTCATAAGGTCAAAATGAGAAAGAGAGTTAATTGATACTTAAGTTGGGATTCGCAATAGGTCATTAAATATTAACATGTTTTGATGATGGGTTTCCATGTTTAGATTCACAATTGAAATCGTTTATCCAACAAGAATAATAGCTAAAATTAACGATATATATCTATTATTTTATTGTGATTCCGGTTTATAAATAGGCCTCTCGGATTTTGTAAAGATTTGTAAAGCTAAAGCGAAACCTCTTTAAAAAGTGTTTTCTTTCAGTTTATATTCCAACGTTTAAACATTTAATATAATGTGCTTTCGAACAAATTTATAAACAGTTATACATTATTGTTTGTCAGATGAGACCAGTTTAACCCTTTTTTACCCAATCTAGTATCGTTTAGGTTCTTTCCGAGAGGCCTTTAGTTAACATTGCCATTGCGACCCCGTTCAGTAATATTGAAGTGATCTCGGTCAGAACTAAAAACCTGAAACCAAGAAATATGGGTAGGCGTTGTGTCCCTTGTTGTACATCTAAATTTAAAAAAAAATACTGCATATTTCAATGCATTGTGCCTTTTCAAAGTATGTTGCATGAACTACAGAAAAATATCGGGAAATGACTGCCGTTATATATTCAATACCGGAATCTTGATACGTGCCGACGAAGCCTAAATGCTTTATAGGTTTGGACGCCACCATAGCACTGAGGGTGCTCTGGTTGTTCTTTTCCCATAAATCTTTGATGTTTGCTTGAGTAATGTTTTTTAAAGGAGATGAGTTTTATGGAAGAAATTTTTATTTGATGCAGAAGTAGATTATACAGAATATAGAATTGTAACGTATGGTAAAATGCGATACGATGCGGTACTATACGATACGATAAGATTCTATACGTTACTAGCAGTGGCGTCGCTAGCTCGAAAAATTGGGGTGGACGAAAACAAATTTTGTCGTCCACGCCCTTCAGATTCTTGGAAAAGCCTTAAATATTTTTTTATCTATCTCGAAATCTTTTGGCAAGCAACTTTCCAAAGCAGCTTTTTTCGTAACGGTGGCTGTTTTGCAAGTGCGAAAATCGAAATCGATCTTATCAGCCCACTCCCCCCCCCCCCAAAGGTTTTTCAACGGATTTCGTGAAAATAGAAAATCGACATCTAGAAATACTGTGGTGGACATGTCCGTCCCAGTCAACCCCAGTCCACCCCAGTCTACCCCGTGGCGACGCCACTGGTTACTAGATGATACGGTACTGTACAATACGGTACGATAGAATGCGTAACGATACGAAAACGTACCAGCAATGAATAAGCGATCAGTTGGTCCATATTTCTTTCCTATTTTAATTGAGCAATTCTCACTGCTCATTGAGAAATTAAACTATCTTTATAGCCATGTATTCCTTATAGTGTTCATAACAATAAACATTTATTTTATATCTGGGAAAGTTCTCCAAACTTTGAATCGATGCAAACGTAAATAGTCATCGACATAGTTGTTTTATGGCAATTATCTGCTACAGAATTCAGAATGGAAAAAGCAGATTGATCGTCATCATTCTATAGACAATTGATATTTATGCTTGGGTTTTCGATTGCAGGTGGTTGCCGACAATTTGAATTGAGAAAACATTGCTTTGTAATTCGATGATGAGTTTTCAATTAATGTTTCTGCAGGCCTCGTTGCGAATAAGAACATGCTAGCAAAAGGCAAAAATAGCTTTAAACGTTAGGTTTAATAACAGGAGCGTAAATAATCGTGAAAATCATCAACTTATATGCAATGCATAACAGGTGGGGAGGAATTCGTAACTATGTGAGAGCGATAAGACTAAATTTTAATGTATAATTTATAGTTGTTAATCTATCTTTATCTCTGTAACGCAAGGATGGTGGCTTTACAAGCCTACAGGTCACATGTGCCCCACAAACTAATTTTCATATATCTTATGAACACCAAAAGTTTAGACCAATGCAGCGTGAGGTTGCGATCTAAACTTTAAGGCTTGTGGACCGGTCAAAAGTTTTCCGAGAAAACTAGTTTTTTCATTCTTTAATCTAAGCCATTTTTTAGATCCATTTTTTAGACAGACTCGTATATTGCCACATTTTCAAAGTAACTACCAATCCGATTCAATAAGAGCCAGCCGCCAAAGACTTTTTTATTAGACGACATTTTACGGAACCAGCGACTGTCGCTTCATCCAAAATTGAGAGAAGATTTTAATTTTGATAAAAAAACTTTATCTGAAAAAAGGAAAATTTAATATTTTGTTTTAAATGTGATTCCGAATGCAATGTTTACGCCTTGCTATGTCCAAGCTAAAGAGTCCAGGTTATGTTTTTGTTTATGTTTAATAAGTATGGTTTCCTGCCAGTTTATTCTGAGTGGACAAGAACCAAGTGCTCCTTGACATCTTCAACATGTCAACATCTTTTCAATGCTTAGAAAAGTCAAGTGTAACAGAGTGTAGATACGTAAATAAATAGAGATGCGTAGAAGTTAAAAATACACGAAAAATATTCACGGGTGCTCGATTCATTGTTTTTGGAGTACCTATGTATATTATTGGTGACTTAGGCCCCGTTCACATTGCTCCTGATTCCAATGAAATCGGATAAAAGAGTATCCGTTTTCACCTTGCGTTCACACTGCTCCACTGCGAAAAAGGAGACTTTTGAAATGCACTTTGAGAACGGAGACTTTCGAAAATGCAAACTTTCGAAAATGTAAAACGCAGTATGAACACCGAAAACGGATACTTTGAAAACGATAACAACAACAACAACCACAACAACAACAACAACACAGCAATATGCTTAGAGCGCGGCAATTTGATCCACTCGAAGTTAGTAAGTACACTACTTGGAGGAATATTAGTGGCAGTGAGTTGTTTGAAAACTTTATTAGCAGTCGCAAGGTCTGTAA